GCGGTTGCACTCATCGGCGGAATGCATCCGTCGGTGTCGGTGCAGCTGCTGTCGCAGCTCGTTCGTGGACCGTTTGTAAGATCAAGGTCGCCGGTGTTTCGTGGGTAAACGTCCTGCAGTCGCCTTGAGTTGCACGTTGCACCGAGCCGCGGTTGCATACGGCCGAGGGACCACACGCTTATCGGCTATTACGTCCCTCCTCCGCACCTTCCGACAATACCGATGCACCGTAGAAAGCTACGTGTCCAACGTGTCTCCTTTATCGATCGGCCAAGCCGAATTGTGTTGTATCTTTATCGGTTATCGATTCGAGCCTTTTTTTATTCTTTTTATTTTTTTTTTTTTTTTTGCGCTTTTGCTTTCGTCGATGCGCCTTTTTTTGCTTCACTTTTTACTCTACGTACGCGGAGTAAAGAATCGCGCCTTTAAACTCATCTATTGACACAGGAATTCCGAGTTTTAATCTTTCGTTCGACCATGAAAAGTCAGAGCCGAGGTTTCTCACTTTTTTTTTTTTTTTTTAATGGTGACAGAATTTTCGGATTAATTTCGGTCAGCATAATCTGAAAGCGTGAAGAGTGTAACATTCCGAAAAATTCGTTTCTCGACAGCGATGCTAAAGAGGAGGAGGGCCGTTATCTCGGCGATAACTGCGGTGTATCGTTTACAGTCAAGCTTATTTCATCGATTTAAATTTATTCTCGTCCGAGTATATCTCGAACAACGCGTTCGTGTGTTTCCTTTTCGCCTCGTCTTTTGTCCTCGACATTCGTAAATTCCACTAATCGGGTCGATTTTTTTTTCTCGGCAGCGGCTGCGGTCGGAGCGCGACAAAGTTTTTATTTATAGATTTCCGTGCTTTCTTCTATGGCGAGGCGTCGATTTCGCCGGGATGCGTGCTACTTGCTCGCGAGACGAACAAGCGTGGGTGTTTTCGAGCTGTATTCGTGGAAAGTACGAACGCACGGCAACGTTCGCTCGGATCTTTGAGTAGTTAAGGGTCGCTGCTAGCGTTAGAAAGAGGGAGAGAGAAAGAGTGGGAGGTCGGAGAGCACCGAGCAATCAGCCCGTCAATTTGAACCTTTTTTTCGTCGTAAAACGAACGTCGATGTTGTTCGCTCTTTGCCACGGTCGTTGCCTGCCCTCTCTACAGGAACCACGCTTTCGTTCCGATCGAGCAACAGTTCCTTCGATATTTACGATGCAAAGGTTACTTTCTTTTCCTTGGACATTTGTATACGTGTAATTTAATGTATATTAATTAATTTATATTCATTGCAATGCTATTAATTTAGCATTATTATTATTTAGTAACAGTTCCTTCGACACTTGCGACGCAAAGGTAACTTTCTTTTCCTTGAACATTTCTATGCGTGTAATTTAACGTATATTAATTAATTTATATTCATTGGAATGCTATTAATTTAGCATTATTATTATTTAATAACAGTTCTTTCGGCATTTGCAACGCAAAGGTTATTTTCTTTCCCTTGAACATTTGTATACATATAATTTAACGTATATTAATTAATTCATATTCATTGGAATGCTATTAATTTAGCATTATTATTGTTTAGTAACAGTTCCTTCGACATTTGCAACATAGAGATATTACTTTCTTTTCTTTGAATATTTATATGTGTGCAAATTAATTCATGTTAATTAAAATGCTGTTAATTTAGCATTATGACATATTATAATTTAATCTATATACAGGGTGTATATACAGGGTGGCCTGCGTATTTTGCTTACTCATTTCAAATAATTTATGAAAAAAAGTTTTTACGCAAAAGTTGCATGGTTTCGAGGAACACATTCCGTGGTGTATTGATGAAGGCGTTATGGAGATTTCAACGTCATCTCCACTTTTTTCAATGAAATGATTGATTAATCGATACTGCTCGATATATATATTTTTTATAAAAAAATTAATTCGAGAGATATTTTAACTTTAATTTTGCAAAGTATATCTCGTATGAAGACCAATGAAACTCCTCTTTCTTTCATGCATAGATTTCACAATTTCAATTCAATTTTTTTTTTTATACAATTATTCGAAGATTATTGCGAAGATTAATGCAAGTTAAAAACTACCTTCTGTATATACATAAATAAATATGATGAAATAAAAATACTAAATCCTCAATTTGGAGCATAATAGCACAAATGATTTCATTATTGGACAGTTTCATTGTTTAATCATCGTTTTTCTACGGAAATTTATTAACCTCTTGCGCTGGAGTGACGTGCCACGCGTGTCAAGAACCTTTTGTCCCAAAATTGCAATATTTCAGTTTTAAGTATATTTAAGTATAACCCGGGCAAAACAAATAATAAATTTATTACTCAATCATTTCTATCCAATGATATACCGACAGGTTTAAAAAGGAAAGCTACAAATTATTGTACACGGTTTGGTCACTCGTTATGGTCCGCGGATGTAACGTAGTTGAAATACGACGTCTACGTACTACTGCGGCGATCTTCGTGCAGGTAATGTAACAATAAATTTACGCTAACAATAAAAATTTTACCTGCCTTCGATATTAATATATCGAGTGTTACATCATGACACCTTAGCCAGAAGTGTTGTTGATCGTTGATCAACGTTGAAACAATATCTAGATTAGAAAGAGGAGAGATTGTATATTACAGTTGTAAGAACATAGAGGACGTTCAGAACAGCAAACGTTGACAATAAAAGTGTCCGGAGTCAACGATACCAAAACAAAAAAAAAAAAAAAAGAAAAAAAAGGATCTTTTGTTAGAGTTTTATTGCCTAGCGACGAACGAGAGACGTCGAATCGAACGCGCTCCTCGGTTCCTCGCGTGTACGGCTTTCCTCTCCGGCCGAGGAAGAGGTGTACACACGGGCTCTCCCGATAAATGAAAAAGAAAAAAAAAAAAAAGAAAAAATCCCGCGATACCGCTCGCGAGGGCATCACTCGCATCGCCGGAGGATCCCTCCGGGCCGATCCCGACGATCCTCGCGAGCCTGCCTTAAGAAACCGTCGTCCGCGCATGGGCGGCGGTAGAAAATCGCGCGGTCGACGGCGAGAGCGAGACGGCGAAAATGAGAGAAAGACACGGCGGCGGTGTGGAGTCTTGAAACACGCGAGAGCCCCGAGAGAAGTCTGGAGAGAAGAGAGCGAGCGCGAAAGGGGCAACCGAGGGGGGAGAGAAAAAGAGAAAGATCGTGCCTTGCGCTGCAGGTCCGAGGAGCGAGAAGAGGAGGAGAAAGATGGAGAACATACCGGAGAGAAGGTCGAAAAAGAGGGAGCGAGAAGTGGGATGCTGCGAGCGAGGCAGGAGAGCAGAGACGAGAGTGGACGGACGGCATACCACCACTGCCGCTCCTTACCCCCCTCGATGTTCGCTGACTTTGTGTGCGTCTCTGTCTCGTGGCGTGTCTTTTATTCACGGGGGCCCTCAGTTTGCCAGAGGCCCCGCTTCTCTCTCTTTCTCTCTCTCTTTCTCTGCGCTCGCTGCCTCCTTCCAGCCACCGCGCGACTCCCTCTCTCCTATTTCTCTTTCTCCCTCGTTCAACTGACTCGCTCGCTCGGTGTTTCTCCGGGTCCGTGGCGGCGGTTCTCTCGCGAGCCAGGGAGAGAGAGAGGTGCAGCAGCAGCGTCGAGAGCTCGCGAAATGCCAGTGATTCGACGCGACTTGGACTACGCGCACTACGAGTAGTTTTTCTCCTCGCGAGACGAGGGGGCCGTGTGTGCTCGTTCCTCCGCCCTTCGCGATAGGGGTGGACTGTACGCGTCGCGACGCTCCTGTTGCCCTCAAGTACTACGGCTGTTCCACGCGCGTTCAACACGACCGACCGTGCAACCCTACTCGCTTCCTTATTTTTGCACCACGCTCGTACTACTAGCGCCGTCGTTTGCTCTACTTTTTTTTTTTCTCCTCCCCCTGTTTCTTTGTCGTTGTTATTGTTGAGTCACTATAATATATATATATATATATATATCTCCTTTCCATTTTCGCCGTGCTTCGCGAGAAGTGTTCTCCACGTTCAGAGATACAGAGATAATTTTTTCTCGGCGAACAAACGGGGCGAAGCCAGTTTCGAATGTAATTCCGCGCTGGAAACTATCCGCGGTCGCTTCGCCGGCGGCAAAGTGTCGTAAAAGGAATCCGGCCGGGAGAGGGAAAGTCTCGTGGGTGAAGAAGAAGTTGGCCATTAACGAGTTGGAGAGACCAGTCGTCCCTTGATCACGTAGGGTGACTTTTGCCCCCTCGGGTACGAAAGTATCACCAAGTGAACTCTCTCTCCCCCCTTACGTAGACGTAGATACCAGAGTTAAGGACGCGTTGGCGAATCGGAACGATAACACGAAGCTGTTTTTCGTCGTTATTTAACTGCTTCGAAACTGGCTCGCGCGGCGCACGCCACCGAGAGCAAGAGTGAAAAATCTCAGCCACTCGTTCGTAAAAGCAACATACACACACACACACATATATATATATATATATATATATATATATATATATATATATTCTCGAGGCCGGTGATTTCAGCGACAAGCTACTCGTGTCTACTGGAAAATTCTGTGTAATGACTTCTGCTGCCAGTCGAACGAAATCGAGTTCGTGGTGTGACGATATTTGATTTGGTGCTACGAATCAGAGAGAAGGAGAGAGTGAGAATCGGCTGTGCGACCTGGTAGCTCTCGAGAAACCCATTCCGTGTACGTGGAGCGAAGGAAAGGGTGAAATCGGTGTCGTAATCGTCGGAGGGCGGAGAAAGTATCGTCCAACGTTGTTTTCCCAGGGATTCTGGATGCTCTCGTAGAGAAGGCACGTATATAATATGGAGAACGGTGTCGAACGCGTGTGTCGACCCAGCAGGATAACTTGACTCGCGATATTAATCTTGCTACTGAAGCTACCGCGTGTCGAGCAAACAGTGAGAGCAAGGGAAATTGGTCTTTTCGCCAAACCGAGGATCCAAAATCCGTGCGAGAAGAGGCGGCTGGAGGAGAGGAAGGTGAAGGCGCGAGAGAGGAAGAAAAGACGCGCGAGTCGAAAAAGGAAAGGGCCATCGCGGTGATTCGCGACTGGAAGACCTCGGTGTGTTGCAGCTCTGTGATCAAGAAGCAGCAGGAACGCGCAAGCGTGCGCGACAGAGATCAACCGCGAGGGAGAAGAACCACGGGAGAAGGCACGGATGAACGAGAGAGAGAGAGAGAGAGAGAGAGAAAGAAAGAGGAGAGAACCAGTGCAGCCTCGCAACCTCCGTCTCTCACTTTCTCCTCGGTTCTCTCTCTCTCTCTCCTCGCTCTCTACTCGTAGCGAGGATGTAAGGACTCTCGAGAGCCCAAGAGAAAAGCAAAGTGACTCAGGTCGAACCAAAAACGATCCGTTTGACGGGGCCTGTTGGATTGGATTTGAGTGAAAAGTGAAAAAAACAACGGGGGGGAATTTCCGGGCGTGGTACACATGAGATCGCGGTACTGGAAGAAAAAGTCTCGGAGACGCGTCGAGAGAGGGCAGAGAGGATGAAACAGCGAAGGATCGGCGCGGTTTGAGCGGAGAGAGACCGGCCGAACCGATGAGGCCGCTGTCGTTCGAGAACCTGAGGAGGCTCGTCGGCCGCAAGAAGGACCGTAACGAGCCGTCCTTCAAGCGCAGCGAGTCCTTCAAGCGGATATCGATAAGGAAGAGTTACCTGGACCGTGGCAAGCGGCGCAACAAGCTCCAGAAGAGCCTGGAGTCGCCGGCGGTCGATGGCAACGCGAGGTCCGGCCAGGTCGACGCCAACTCGAAGCCGACGATCGAGAAATCACAGGCGGTGATCAAGGAGCAGAGGCCGAAGAAGCTTCACGACGACACTCTGAGCCGCGAGTCGATCAGCTACGACGAGTGGCTGCAAGGTGTCAGCTCGTCCTCGCGCGAGAAGTTGGACGAGCTGCACCGCGAACAGCAACAGAACAAACAGAACAGACAGCAGCTGCAGCAGCAGCAGCAGCAGCAGCACTTTGCACCCGCGAGGAACAATCAAGTGAGCAAGTTCCAGAGGCAGAACGAGGCCGCCGACCACGTGGCCGAAGAACTGAAAGTTCTCGAGCTGGACGCCTCGCCGGTATTGCCCACCAAGTCCCACAGAATCATCTCCAACGAGACGATCACGATCCGCAACGAGGAGAAGAACGGCCATCAGGACCATGTCGTGCTACAGGAGACGAAGTCGGTCGAGGGACCACCGCCCAGCGTCAGCGTGAATCTCGGTCGGATATGGAGGGACGCGGTCCCGATGCCGTTCCCCGCCACCTCCGGCCCGTCGATTCACCACTCGTTGGACAGCGCGTTGAAGGAGAGGAAGCCGCAGCCCACCGTGGCCAGAACGGTGTCCGCTCCGGAGAAGAGCGTCGCCGGCAAGGACGTCTCGTCCGCGTTCGGCTTCTCGCTGAGGATCGCCAGGCTGGCCGACTTTCGCCCAGGGTTGCTATCCACTCGTACCACACTTTCGTTTTGCGTGTTAATTGATCATCGTCGACGATGAAATCACGAAAATCACGTAATCTGATGATCGATAGAGAGCGATGGGAATTGCGAAGCATTGGTTTTCTCTCTCTTTTTTTTTTCTCTTTTTTTTTTTCTTTTGTCCTTTCTTCTTCCGTCTCTGACGAAGCGAGAAATTTTTCGTGAATTTCATCGGTCGATGATCGTCTCTCGCGGCAGAGAGGAGGCGCAGTGTTCGATAATGACGGTGACGGTTTAGGGGCACGAGGAACGGTTTCTTTAACCGGAGGACGAAGAAGTCGACGCCGAGCGTGAGCGTCGAGGGTTACTTCAAACGTAGCAGCACGCTAAGGCGATCCAGCTGTCGACGCCGCGGTAGCGGAGGAGGCGGAAGGCGTACGTCCCAGAGGACGAAGAAGAAGCCGCCTCAGACGGCGGCGGCGCGGTCCAACAGTCCCGTGTGGTTCGTCCCGCCGGAGAGGCGCCGCTCGAGACGCCAGAGGCGAGTCTGGCGGGAGATCCGATACTTCCCCGAGACGGAGATCCCCGTGATCGAGAGGATCGACGACTGCTGGTCGAACATGTCGGACCTGGACCAGTTCGACGACCTGAAGCTGTTGCTCTCGGGAGACTTCAACGACAGGCGGGACAACGGGGGCTTGAACTCGTTGGTCTCGTCGTCGTTGGGCTCCTTCTCGGCGACGTCCTCCTCGTCGTCGGCCTGTCGCCGGCCACCGAAGATCAGCGACTTCAACGAGGACAAATTGTTCTCCGAGGAGCTGCGGACCAGCGGCGTGCTCGCCCGTAGAACCACGTGGCGTCCGGTGACTTCCAACTACTTCGCCAGCAACCAGTTTCTCAACTTTCTGTCCAAGGGTTCGAGCAGCCTCGTTGGCAGGGAGAAGGCGAGGACCGATTCGTCGACGTGCTACTACAGGTGTCTCTCGTCTACCGAGAGCGAAACCGAAAGTCTCGGCCCGCCCGAGCGCAGAAAGAGCTCTCACGCGATGCACCGGCAGCAGCATTTGAAGAGGCAAAGGTCCGGCCTCAGGAGAAGACCTCTCAGGCGGAAGTCGCAGCTTCGAAAGGCCTCCGGTCAGCCGGTCTTTCTCGTGCGAAAGTGCTCCTCATTGAGGAAGAGACCCAGTAAGGACAGCTCTGTCATAGCGATCTCTGTCGTCGCTGTTTCTAGCAAACCTTTCCTTCAAAATCTAACACGCTGACTCTTTCTGCTTTCGCGTTTTTTTTTTTTTTTTTNNNNTTTTTTTTTTGGACAATCCGCGTCGGAATCGATACAAGGTATTTATTCACCACTTAGGCTAATAATCACTGCTTCTTTTTTTTTTTTCTTCATTTTCAACCACGTGTGGGTTATTAGCGACTTGGAACCCAATTTTCTTCATTCTTTAGGGAGGTGTCAGTCAGGGAGGGGCTTAAGTTCTTCTTATGAAGGCTTACTAGCAATTTGAAACTATAAATATTACAATTTATTGCATATTATAGATTAGACTGTATTCTAGGATTAATTCTTTATTCTTTAGGTTGTCATCTAGGAAATATGTTCTTATCAAGGGTTATCAACTTGGAATTAAACATTGAAATTTGTTATATAGGTTAGACTGTTTCAGAAGACTGTTCTTTTTTTTTTTTTTTGCTTGTGCAGGTATTAGCAATTATTACAATTTATTGTACAGGCTGCATGTTAGACTGTATAAGGATTGATTCTTTATCATCTAGATTGTTTTTAAACAACTCGACTAGATTGTTCTATATAGATTTATGCTCTTGAACATACGTCCTTTTCTTCAAGAAAGAATTTATGTACAGTTAAGGTCTTATTCATAAGTATATTTTCTGCACTGTACTGATATGTTTCACTGTTAGTTCAACTACTTTTGTACAAATCACAAATTGGGAGATACTGGTGGGTGAGTTTTGTATTTTTGTGGCCCCTTGTGATACTTGAGATTACAACTTGCCCATATTTTGGTAGAGAAGCAATTGTCTCCTTAAACACTACTTCTTGCTGTCTCTACTGGCTTCTCGTTCGATATTCCACTCGATGCACGCCTGATCACTCGGTCAGTTTGGTTTCACCGTCGTTTTTGCTCCGGTTAAACTGCCCAAGAATCCGTGCACGTACGTTCTTACTAATTGTCGCCTGTTTCTCATTCGAGTTCGATCGCCCGTACGCGATTATTTATTCTCGTTGCGATCAGGAAACTGAACGTCGTACTCGACAACACTGAGAGCTATTTTCGCTCGGCTGATTGATCAATAAAATTTTTAGTGATTTTTTTTTAACCCTTCACATCCCCTTTTAAGGGGATATCGTGCTTGGAACTGATAATTATAACAAAAGAACTTCAAAAGAAAAAATTCTTGACAGATGGATAATTCACATAAACTAAACTTCTTATTTCTACTTTATAAAATGGCGGAGGCTCTTGTTTTTCAAGAGATTGAAATTATGTGTCATTAACTTCTTCATACTAGATTGTTTTAAACAGTGTCATATTGTTAGAGAGATAAAATCAAGAAAATTTCATGTTAAATAGGATGATCATTTCCAGCGCTGTGTTATTTTATTTGAAGTGATACTTTATTGTATCTAGCCGTTTGATAAATAAATTGCTGGCACGTGATGCAAAACAAAAAGAGGGTAAAGGGTTAATTGACAGGTAAACAAACCCAAGTGCGGGTATTATTAGCAAGTAGGGGCAGCGTTGAAAAAAATTGCGATTAGATACGCGTGAAAAATTGACGAGAGCAGATATATGGTGACTGTAGAAGGAATTAATCATGCGTTCAGTAAGGGCAAGATTTGCCTGGTACATTCCCAGCCATGTGTTAACTATTACGTTGGCCAAAAACTGTGTTTTTTTTATGTGCAAATGGAAGGCGAATTTTTCATTTTTCGAAGAATAAGAAAAACTATTAATTTAAAATTAATATATTAGCCATTTCATATATTGTTTATTTTGTTCGAACACCTTTTGCCATTTTTCAGGCAATTTGTATTCAAGTTAGTCACATTTAAATATATATATGTATAGGTTAAGTTAAGTTTAGATTATGTATTTAAATTTTGTTTAGGTTAGGTTATGTATTTAAATTTAACTAACAATAAGTTAATGTGTTTTCAAGTTAGTTACATTTAAATATATATATGTATATGTAAATTTAGGTTATGTATTTAAATTTTGTTTAGGTTAGGTTAAATTTAGGTTATGTATTTAAATTTTGTTTAGGTTAGGTTATGTATTTAAATTTAACTAACAATAAGTTGGTGTGTTCAAGTCAGTTACATTTATATATACATATATATATATAGTTACAATGAAGTTAGTTAAATTTAAATATACAACCTAACCTAAATTTATATTATATTACATATATATATTCCGTACCGTAATTCCGTGTTCAAAAAAGTTATTACCTTTTTTGATAAAAAAAAAGTTTCAAGAAAGATTTGATATCCTCATCAAATTGAAATTTAGGAAAAAATCTTTTTTGACATTAGTTTCTTCACATCTTTTTAATTTTTTCTCTCTTTTTTTTTTAAGAATTTTGTTTAAAGAAATTGAACTTGAAATTCGAGTTGAAGTTTCGTAGGTTTGCAATTTGCTCTTTCCTTCAAAAATTGAAACCACTTGTACCATAATGGGTACAACTTATCATTACAAGACAATATTACAAGAGGTTAACTACTTTGATCTCGATCTTTTCAATGACTGTCAGTCTCTCAGATTCACATCAAACGCGTGATGCAATGCGTCCTCTTCTGTAACATTGTTTCCTTTACATCTACAATCTCATGATTGTTATTTTCTGTTACTTTTCTTTCCTTGCGTGACTTTTTCCGTCAAGCAAATAAATAAATAAATAAATCACAATCATCAAATGAATCGCGGATTCTAAGCGATTAAAATCGATTCCATGTAACGAACGACGGTGTCCATTTCTCGTTGAATTTTCTTCTTTGAATGTCCATCTCCCTACGAAATCTTCACCTCAACGATAACTGAAACCTCTCCAATGTAGAAAATTAGTTACGAATCGTAGCACTTTCAACGATTTGCTCGATACTCGCCATCACTCGTGGAAAACGAATCGTTCGACAATTAAAATTGCTGCCGAGAGAAACGAGAGGGGATCGAGTATATCTCTTTACGATCGATAACGATCGTTTCGTTCGAGCCGTGCACCTGTTTCTTTTTCTTTCTTTTTCCCAGCTGTTGGCCCAACTCGTAAACATACGGAACACGAGCGTGTTCTCAACTTTTCCGTAGAAAATTGGTGGTTCTCGTTTCGAGTCGGCACAATTGCAAGTAAATCAATCCAGTGATAACGTTAGGCCATCGTCCTAGTTTCGTTTTGCGCCGGTGCTTGCACCTGGGAAAAATCGTGTCTCGGCCGTTAGCCGATCGATTCTAGGCATTTTCTCGAGTTACCAGGCGTGACGCCAGGCAAGCATGCCAGCTCGTTTCGCATCGCGCCGAGGCACGTGGGCACGCCGCTGCCTGCCGCTTAAGAAACTTACGGATGCATGCCCTTTCTAATGGAATTTCGCGGACTGAGAGACTGAAGTTCGCTGAGAGACTCGTTTCTCGTTAAATAAATCATCGTCGTTTGGAAAACAATGGCCCATTGATCGAGCACCTCGCTGACGACACGTGTCTCGACGATCTTGAGACAAATTCCTCTCGGCGAAATTCCCGCGGGATTAATTCACTGTCGGTTAACACTAGAACAGTGGTTCTCAATCTTTTTTTTTTTTACCAAGCATCTCTAAAATCCTGAAAATGAAAACCCACCTCTGTGACACAGATAATTCTTATTATTCGGAAAGTGAATTTTTGACGTGAAGGAAGCCTAAGACGCCATTAACTTTAAGTTTCCAAAGAATGCGACATTCGTGAAAGAAAAAAAATTCGAAAGTTCCAAATTTTCATTTGAAGAAATGGAAAAAAATTCACTGTTAATGATTCGTTCTCGAATTGTCCCCCTGTGGGGCGTGGTTGAGAACCACGGGGCTAGAACTGTCATAAATATATAATTACTACTGTAATTTAAATATATAAATTAAAATAAATTAAATATATAATTACTACTATAGAGTGGTCAAAATGACCAATTTATAATTTTTGCTAGATAGTTCGTAGACGTGAAACGTGATTTATTTAAATAATTTTTCGTAAAATATACAAATAAAGTTTCTCTGTTGTTTTTACTTCTCTGATGTCTCTGATGGTAATTATTTATACTTTAATCGTCGGTATTACAGTCGCGTGGCAGAGGCTCTGATTCTCAAAACATCAGAAAAATATTTTTTTTTTCAGAGAAATGGCGGCCATGTTCTTAATATTCTTAATATACATATATATATATAGATATATATTTCTCTGAAAAAAAATATTCTGATGTTTTGAGAATCAGAGCCCCTGCCACGCGACTGTAATACCGATGATTAAAATATAAATAACTTCCATCAGAGACATCAGAGAAGTCAAAACAATAGAGAAACTTTATTTGTATATTTTACAAAAAATTATTTAAACAAGTTTGTGTGTATATATATATATACACATATACGAATGTATAAAAACATTTTTGTCGAGTCGGTTGTTCGAATTTACGAATTTGACCACTGTCGTTAGACAGGTTAGGTTTACTTTACTGGTGACTGTCGCGAGAGAGGGTAGTTTTTCTTTATTTATGACTAATCGTTGCGATAGTAATCTTATTCAGTACGACTGAGTACGTAATAGTATTTTAGACGTACTTTCGATCCGTGCAAAATTTTTTACAGAAAGGAATATCTTTTTCGGAGAAATGGCGTTTCTTATTAACCACTTGCGCTGGCAACTGATTGCGGACCATAACGAGTGACCGAACCGTTATACAATAACTCGTCGCTTTCTTTCTCTTTTGAACTTGTCGGTATATCACTGAATAGAAATTATTGAGAAGTAATAAATTTATTATTTGTTTTGCCTGGGTTATACTTAAATATACTTAAAACTGAGGAAATATTGCAATATTGGAACAGAAATTCCAGCGCGAGAGGTTAATAAACACACTGTAAATAAAGGAGAGAAAAAGGCAGATAAGCCTAAAGAAGGTTCTGATCATTGGAGTTTTGCGGGCTGTCTGATCATTATTTAAGCTAAGACTTTGGGAATCATTATGCGATTATAATATATAATATTACAATTATTGATATATTAATACACATATATTGTGTTTCGTAACTTGTGAGACCCAATTATGATTATTATGAAAATTGAATATACCTGGTAAAACTAGCTTACTAGAGTTTGCTCTGTTCATAAACTTCATTATATCTCATAAATGAAGACAGATAGGACAGGATATATTTATATGACTTTTTTTCATTATTTTTAGGCGCACAATCAGCTCCCGAAGTGGACTTCCACAAGTTACGAAACAGTGTATAATATATAATATTACAAAGTTTATTAGAAACGAAGTCTTTAGCTTCTTCTCCTTCTTCAGCTAAATGGTCCTTTTCACGTCTAGCGTGTAGGACCAAAAACATCGTAAGTCGTTTGTTTGTTACTAGTTCCAGAAAACAGGTCTTGGAAATTTGCGTACCTCGGAGTCCCCTGGGAATTTCCTTAGCTTTTCTCGGCAAAGGAGGGCACGGTTTGGCGAGGCACGTAGCGCTCTCGGCGATAGTTGGTGTCTCCATTTCCAACCGGTCGCCCCGCGGATTGTCCGAGCGATTTCTAGCTTCGGCTTTGAACCAGCCGATCGTCCTCGAAATTCCACGGGGTTCTCTTCGCGTCTGCAGAAGAAATTAGCCTGAACGGGATCGCGCGAACAGCCATCTCGAAATACGTCCTTTTTCAGTCTCGATCGCTCGATGGAACGCAGCATTGAGAAATTCATCTCGCTTATTTAGCCATTCGGTTGAGGACAGGCTGATTCGACGCGCAATCCATCCGTCCTCTTATTTGCCTATTTTTGAGTACACGCGATCGTGTAATTTGCGTATGTTCGCATGTTGCAAACTTCCTTTCCATTCGACGACCAGCTTCATCATATGTTACACAGGGTCGATATATTATATTGGTCCATTTAAGCGAGTTGCAACTCAATGGATATCTTTTCGGATTGTTACGATGGGAAAAATTTTTCTTATCTTTTCTTCTAACGTGAATGGTATCGAAAGGCCATTAATTGGCAAGAGTATTTTTTTCCAAGGTCATTTCTTTCCTTTCTTCAAGGCCAATAATTGGCAAGAGTATTCTTTTCAAAGTCATTTATGTTTCTTTTTTTTTTTTTTTTACCATGCAATTATGTATTTTTTTTTATTGCAGTGTGTAGCTGGTAAAAGAAATACGTTCAGTTATGTATAGAACATGACCTTGAAAATTTAAGTTTTATGTATAAATTGAGACAAGTGGACAACCCGTCACCAAAACGAAAATTTTACTAAAAAAAAATTAGTTTATTATTACTTTCTGCCGTTTTTTTGTCACGTTTTCCTATAATATCTACTAACTAGATTTTCAAGGACTTTTTTTTCTTTAATATAAAAGTTTTCTGATTTGGCAAAGCACTAGCCATTGTTTTAACCAAGAATTTCCCCTTTAAAACCATACAACTTTTGTATTAAACAATCTTTTATTGGATAACCCATAATTTAAGTTATTTCAGATGTGCACGTTACACGAATCATCCTGTATAATATATATGCAATAATTGAATGTACATTGCAAGTTATTGATTGCTTCGAAACTCAAAGATCATGAAGACGTCTAATATGTTTTTCCATCAAGTTTTTCTCTTCGCTAGTCCTGTTAGCTTCATGAAACGTGAATGAGAACAGAATGACAAGCAGAATCCCACGTGAATAATATTATACATTTTTTTTTTATGTTTATAAATATATATATATTTATAAATATATATATATATATATATATTTATAAATATTTCTTTAAAAAAAAGTTGAACTTTCTCATTGCCCTCCAGTCGATCGAATCAAATCGACAAATCCGAACGGAGAAGCCGATCGTCTATCGTTGCTTCAAGTATTCTCCTCAAGTTCGACAAACACGACGAAGCCATTGATTCCCATTAATCGTTACAATTTCTCGTTCCAGGGGACATTACGCAAAAGGGCTACGAGAAGAAACGGACACGTTTGCTACAACAGTATGCCTCGAAGCAGTTGGGTGAGTCGGACTTTTCTATTGCTCGCAGTAACTCTTACAATTAGATTCGAAAACGAGTCGCGCTCATCGTCGTTTTTCATCCTTGGCCAAACGACACACGTGGACGAGAAGCTCGCGTCGTGATCGCGCGGGCTCTTTATTCTAGATAGAGTCCCCTTCTACCTAACTATTAAAAGCAAATTATTTTTCATAATATAAGTTCATTTTTATTCAGGAATATCGACATTAGAGCTACCAAAATGGTCAAAATGACCAATTCGCAGTTCCTTATATAGAACGATGCATTTTTTAAAAGATTTAAATGATTCTTCGTAAATGTGTAAAAAATATTACAAAGTGTTACTCTAGACATTTTTATTTTTTTCTTTCTTTTTTTTTTTTAATGTCTCTGATGGAAATTTTACGCTTTAATCGTCGGTAGCTTTAGTGTACAAGACGTAAATAAAATTAAATAAATAAATAAATAAATAAATAAATATATATATATATATACATGTAAACACATATAAATATATGTCAATAAATATATATATATATATACGTAAATACATCTAAAAGTATCATCTTTGCTTTTGGAATTTTAAGTGCTTTGTACGAGCAGACACGCGAAGAAGAATCGAAAACGAAAGTAGCTGCGACCGATTGCTCGTTTCCCCCCTCGATCCTTCAGCCGGTTGTCGAGAGTAGCGAGTAAGTAAGTTGGTCTCTCTCTCGCGTTTCGTCGCGTTACTCGACAAAGCTTCTCTCGTCCTCGTGGTCGTCGCGATGGTGTTAGCTGGCGCGATAATCTCGCCCATTGCGCCACATCTAGACGCAACTTCGGCCTTCTCATTCTCTCTCATTCTCACTCTATCTCTCTCTAGTCGTTGGTAATATTAATCACGTTCCGATTCTCAAGAGGCACGGGCATTGCTTTCCATGCACAATGCTGGCGTGTGCAATCGTAATGGGAATAAAAGGAGGAACCGAGCGGACACGGGACCGCGTGCTCTCCCTCCCCGGCCATCCGTTTTCCATCCGTCATCTTCTACCGGTTTTTCTTTCTTACGCAATCGCGGCATTGCCTTGTCTACGGCGCGCGTTCACGGCCTCCGTGTACCCGCAGCCGTGTCAAAGATTTTTCCGCCGATTTAACGACCTGTCGTCTCGCTTTTCCCGCAAAACAACTCCGCCTCTTGCGTTTCGCAATCGAAGGAAAGATCGCCTTTGCCACCGGGCTCCCCTTTCTTTCGCTTCGTCTAGTTTCGGAAGAGCTCGGAAGAGTTCGGAGGAATTCGGAAGAATTCGTCGCACGATGAAGTACATATCTGGTTCGAAAAACTGAGAAAAAAATTGTAATATTCTTAACGTTATTCTTATGCTGAATGTTTATCCTGTAATATACAGGACGTGATCACGTAACTTTTAAATTGCGCGTCTAATGAAAAATTGTTTGACACAGAACAAGAATATAATTTTTAAGGTGGCAAAATATTTTTAATCGTTCATTCCTGATCTCGCTCTCGTTCCTAACCTTTCGTAATTCTAAAGGATATCAGATTTACCATACTGACTGAATTCGTCTTGAACAGCCGTTTTCATATGACAAACAAACAAAAAGTGGCATTCTGTATGAAACATTGAAGGTCTTAATTTCGTGAAAAATATTGGAAACACAAAAAGCATGTATATGTATATTGTTGTACACTGCTGTTACGATAATAGAAAACCGTGTCCAACTTGTACAACTTTGTCCCCTGCCACTTTTTCCTCTTGTTTACCATTTCCGAGAAAAAATAACACTGGACAAAAATAATATATATATACATACGTATAGTTACTATAAAGAAGCTTAATACTTTTTTATTCCTCAGACAATTTTTTACAGTTTGACAACTCTGAATGACAAAAACTTGAAATCGACTTTTTCGGGCCAGATACTCTCCACTGTGCGACCGTTAGATTAGGTTAGGTTAGGTTACGTACGAGACGAATGGACAGGTGGAAATCGCTGGTGGACGAAAGCTGTTGAAATTGATCGCGAAACGAATGTGAAGTGCATGGGGGATTTCGTAGCGAGATGGTGGAACGGTTAAGCTCGGTCAGCGAGCACGAGCACACGAGCCACGAGCATGGTCGCGCCTTCGGCAACAGCTCCGTTGTTGCTGTTGCGATCGACTGCAATGTACATACATACTGTTTAACTGTACCTGCATGCGGAAGAACCACTTCCGTGTTATCCACTCGTTATACGCGACGTACATCTGCCATTGTCGCCGTACACCGTTCCAACTGAAGACTATTTCCTCGGTGCTTCGTATCACGTTCGACTTGTGCTTTTCCAACGCTTTCTTTCTTGTTTCCTTTCGTTTCTTTTTTTTTTTTTCTTAACTCGATTACGATCTCGACGATGTACGCCCCGCTGCTTGTTTGCAAGCATTTCGTTTGGTCGCGAACCTTCGAGGAAGCTCCCTTGCTCGTGTCTTATTCAGATGCAACGAATTCGCAACGAGAGAAAGCAATTCAATTTGTTTGTTTATTTGAAGAGGGAAAAATAACACGGGATAAGCAAACAAATACAACAATGATGCATTTTAAAATTAAAGGCTTATTGTACGATATTTGTTACAAAATTATAACGCTATGGAATATGTAATATTTATTTTTAACTTATATATATATATAATTTTTTATTCAATTTTAATTAAATTGTAAGTTTTAGTAACATACTTTCAATATTTACTGCTATTTACATCGCTGCTAGACAAATGCTGGATAATACAGAAAAAGAAGGAAATTCACAAATCTTAAGGAATTGTATAATACCAACACTATTAAGGAGGAATACAATACCGAAGGAATGTAAATCGAGGAACGAAAAAGTGAAATTATATTAAGCTAATAATTTTGTAACGGACAATATTTTTCTGAAACTATCGTCGAGCCAGAAAACATTAGCTTTCTATATACGTAATCTGCTTGTAATCGGATAAGCGAACGTTCGAATGTCCATTTGCTAAAACATTAAAAATTTATAACAAGATTGAAATTGAAAATACACATGTGGCTAAGAACAGGTGTTTTCAAATTGCGATTCTTTCTCTCGACGATTGTCGTTGCTTTTGATTCGCGACTGTCCCGCGCTAACACGCAACAATACGAACAAAAGGTAGTTCTAGTCTCGGGGACGTATTACGTATAACCAACGATTATCCCGTCGGTGTATTCGTTGTATTCGGTGGTTCATCGGCTCGTTGCCTGGAACGTTCAATATCGTTTGTAAAAACGATGCTTGGTCTATTTCCAAAGGCTGAGGCAGCGACCTCTCTTAGTAGGTATCGCATTACGCGACAATATCGAGAAACAGCGATCAACTTCTCGTTTCGTGGAAAAAGCTTTATTTTCACTTCTTAGCTACAGAGAACGCCATTGAGTTCGCACAGTGACTTTCGTGTATGTCATCTTTTTAAACGGTACGTCTCCGCTATAGTGACTTGCCCACTTGTCTCTCATTGTCAATCGAAGAAATGCTACGTTGTTATGATTTTTCAAATTCTTCCTTATAAAACAAATTTATTCGTTTCTTCAATGTCAAAACTTCAATTTTTTCGAAGTTTATAAATTTCATTGTTACACTTTCTTACGATTTAAGGCGTCAGGTCTTGCCTCTTGAACAGAAGTATAGTTTCGCGAAAAATCTCACCGTAGCTAAGAGGTTAACGCGGTTATGACATTGTCACAGTTCGCTCGAACGTTATTAAATTTCACGGAGCGTGACTTACGCGCGAGCGTTAACTCTATCGTCGAATATATCGTAATTGAACCAACCATGACCATAACCGTAAACTTGGAAACGCGTTGAACACACGGGCACGCAATTGTGAAAAAGGGGGGAATTGCTGTCGGCGAAGCAGGCGAGAGTTGTTTTTGACGATTTGAAATCGCTCGAACGAGATACGTGTACAGTATCGGACAAATGCAAAAACAATTTTCATGTTTCTCTTCATGGAGATTGCATTTATTCTACATATTGTTTATTATTAGTCGAACATTTACTACAAGTTGCACAGAGATGGCCTGCGTCCTACCAGAAAGTTAAAGTAAAGTTTATTTACATTCAAAGCGGACAAAAGTAGTCGGATGTTTCATTTTCACGTACGATTTTGTGACTTATTGCGTCTTTAAATAAGTCTTAAATTTTGCTTCTATATTTTTTATTTTGTTTGTAAGATGGTGCAAGGACAAAGTTTGACAAAAGATATGAATTCACGATGTTTTGACGTTGCAAAACAGATATACAGGATTGACACGTTAAGTGCCGTGTCGGTCACTGGTGACCGACAGTAATCTATCTGTACAAGCTGCGACCGGTGACCGACGAAGCAAATTTAGTACACATGTATTAAAAATTGAAAAACTTTAAAATGACAGGAAGCTGAATATTGCTTTTATTATATAAACAGTATAAAGTATAATGCAATAATAATTTTAATGGGTTTTATTAAAAAAGTTTAGGCAAATATGTGTGATTTTTTCCTTTGCATCAAAGTACGACTCTAAATCCAACATTTAAATTTGAGTGTCAAAGCTGAAAAATTTATACAATCGAATTTATAATGCCAGAATTAATCCCTCTGATAATACAAAATTGATTGAAATCTAAATGCCTGATAAGATGCATTGTTGTTGATGACAAAATATTAAGCTCTCCTTTCTTTTACGTCGATAAAGTAAGCCAATATTTGTTTAGTTCATAATTCTCTTATTGTCTGAATACTTTTGTCAGTGACATTTTCGTTTATTACTCAGAGATATGTTTTTCATGTTCAAAATTCTTAAAATAAATTATCACGATTCTCCTTTCTCTGTTTTACGTCGATAAAGTAGGACAAATACTTGTTCAGTTCATAATTTTCTCATCGTGTGAATACTTCCGCCAGTCACATTTTTCGTTTACTACTCAAAAGTGTGTTCTCTCACATTCTAGAAAGATATTCTTGAAATAAATTGGCATGATAATTATTCATCGGCGTTAATGCACCCCGCACCACGATCGTAAAGAAATTATTATTTAAAAAAGACCATTTGTCCGATGCATTTGCCACGTACACGCGTGCGCATATTAAGCGGTAACCGCGAGTTTGTACAAGATGTTATGAGAGACGGCGGCGAAGGTGGAGAATAAGGGAGGGGAAAGCGGAACAGAGGAGGATGGAAGAAAGTGAAAAACTAGCCCGGCGTAGAAACTCCCCTCGTTTGAGAATCGGAACGGGTATAAAGAGGAGAAGAGCCTGTGGAGGGTGGCTTCTGCATATGCACGTGTGTGGCACACAGGGGCTGGAAAGGATGGAGGAGGTGTCGGCGTCCTCGGTATCGGAGGGGTCGAGAGAACGGGTTATGGAAGCGGTGGCGGTGTTGGCGTCGTTGGGGGCATCGGCGTTGGCGTCGGCGTCGGCGTCAGCGTCGGTGGCCGGCCACAGCCACGTGCACGCCGCACGCAACGCCGTGTCACGCACAACGAGAAGCGCTATCATTCAGGTAGCGCCTGAACTATTGCACGATTCAACCTTGTATACCATATACATATAATATACTATACACCATGCGTACGATATTATAGATTGACGTACATGCTGTATACTTTTTCTATCTTTTTGTCTCGCATCACGCCATCTAGAGAAATTAGAGTTTAGCTTTTGCGGCTGATGCGGGATTCCACGTACATAACCCACCACGCCGTTACCAGCATTTAGTCACTTAGATATACGACGTTGTTTAGCCATGTGTGGATTGTCATTCTCGGTAGGAAGCATCGTTCTCATTAGACGTCCAATGTTATTTACGTTCACCGAACTCTAATGTGCATTTTTTCACTGTTCGTGTAGCTCTCTATTCTCACCGATCTTTCGTTTGTTCGTTCGTCTTTTTTACTAATTACCATAGTTTCGTTGTTTCCCTCCCCCCCCTTGTTTGTTTTACGATCGTTTCGTCCATTCGTGAAATTTTGTGTACGTACGAGGAAACGGTTTAAAGTACGAACGTTCGAGATCTGACTTCCAATTGAAACGTTGTTCGTCCGTTGCCAAGTTAATTCGTCGTGTTGCGTGTTTTCTCTGTTCGCTCTCTTTCTTTCTTCTTTTTTTTTTTAACGCATCATTGTTCCTGCTAAATAACGTAGAAACAAACAAAGTCTTTGATATAAATTTCCAGCGGGATCTCGGTGTAAAGCGGCATTGTCGGCCCGTAAAAAAAAAAAGAGAGAATAATAGGGTTCGTCGACGTATGTACAAGAATCGCGATATATTCTCGAAAGAGAGTTGTCTTTATACCGGAGGGGGGAAAAAAAAATTTATGAGGAACGGCAAGCGTCAGAAAGGGATGGCTGAATAGCTGACAGGCTGTCGAGCGCTCGTTGGATAATTGCGATGCCGTTGGTCCTCGTCTTAATTAAGCGGCGAGCCCCTCGGGCTTTGCACTTCACGGGCACCGGCAGCATTTGCGTTTCGAGACCGGTCGTCGACGAATTTTCTCGTGGAATCCAATCCTCTCGTATACTGTACGCGGCGCCACTGCCGTCATAAAAAAAAATTACCCCGTCGGTAATTCCGATTTAACGAACTGTTAAGCGCGGTTATTCAAACGGAAATAAAATATCGTTGAATTCAACGATACCTGGAAGTCAGGTCAGCACGGTCGGTTGTACATATGAAATTTCCTAATGTTAACACGTTGACTGCCACGTTAGACTCTCAGGGAGCGTCAAAAGAGAATTTTGATTACTCTGAACTTATAATGAAACGTAATTTTTTTTTTTTTTTTTTGCACTCCGAATTAACCTTTTTGTACATCGTATTCACCTCTCTGCAAATCAAATTTTATCCTCTCACGGATCAAATTCGCAGGGGAAGTAATATATTTTATTATTTTTATTCTTCAATGATGAACCCCGTTGAAGAATTTAATTTTTGAAAAAATTAAGTTCCGTGCAAGGGATATTTTGGCTGATCCTTCGAATCATTAACATTTAATGGGTTATTAATCATTCTGTTGCAACTATTACTCCAGATTGTTGCCAATTTTACGTCATTTTTGTTTCAATATTATTACATGCAATAAAATTTTTATTTCAATAGTTTGAGAAAACAAATTTGTAGAAAAACTTGATTTGCAAAAAAGTGAATATGATCTGTAAAACGATTAATGTAGAGTGCAAAAGTGTGTAAGATCATGCTTAGTTATTCATAGTTATTCGCGTTTATCTTGGTGACCACCGTGGCCCCTGGTGCCCTTAATTACTCTTCATTCAACTATTTTTGAATATTTTCTTGCAAATTGACACAATGCACACGACGAAATGCAAAAGAAGGAAGGGCAAAGTGTTACCAAAAAAAATGTTGCAAATCATGGCTCGACAAATGCTAAAAATTGAAAGAAAAAAATCAGTAAAAATATTTTAATACGTAATTTTTATAACATTAAATCTTAATTAAAATCTTCAATTGTTGAACAGCGCATTTTTTATCTCATAATATCGTCAGTTAGCCATAATGTTCCAAATCATTTAGTTAGGTATTCACTTTATCTTAATTATCTGAAATTATTATTCGAGGCGCTCCCGGTCACTGATAAGCCCCCATCAAGGAAAAAAAATCACCAACGTAGCAGTCAACGTGTTAACGAATCGAACGAGATTTGTATCGTGCAACGATACGTGTAAATAAAACGTAGAATATTCTCAGCGAGTCAGTGTTGTTTCGCAAAAAATAACGATCCACCGGATGCTCCGCTGTAAGTTTGCACGATTTAGATGATTTATCCACGCACGTAGATATATCATGTACAGTCCAATTCTGCTTTATCGATCGAACGAAGTTTAACCAATTTCGTTACTCTTTTTTCCTATTTGATTAAGTTTAAGTTTATCTCTTTTGTTTTTCTTCTTTTCTCGTCGACGATTTCAATCTCGATTTCGATTTCCGATGCAGTCCTTTTACGACGCGTAGTCGTAAAGGATCGCGGGATCGAATCGTTACTCGAGCCATCGTCATTTCATCACGTTTCACGATTCATCCGTAATTAATCTCGATAGTCCGTGAATCATCATTCTCATCAGTAGCGATCATAAACGTAACGTACGTGTGACCTAACCTCTTCATATTCTATGCAGATTGCCGTAATTCTAGCCTTAACGCGTCCAGGCCGGTAATAATTTAGTCAGACGCCATTGCTTCACTGCCAGTTAATCAAACGATCACAAAAGTTACAGAAAAAAAGAGATTTCTCTTCGCTGTTTACTGCTTTTCCATTTTCTCTAAAAAAAAAGGAAAGAAAAAAACCAATGAAATTGTTCCGAAGGCGATAAACGATAAAAAGAGAGATTGATATTACCGATCGAGTGAACGATTGAAAGGGGCATAACGCTTGAAGAGGTTATCACGTTGTTCTTTTTTTCATGTAGCTGGCTTGCTTGTAATCCCCCAATCGTGCGTGCCAATTCGCGCAGAGATGCTTTTACACCTTAGATACACCTTTGTAATTCGACTTACTCCGAGACCGGTTGTTCCACCTTTGGGTGACTCTCGAGGATCGTAAACATTCTTGCGACTCGGCTCGACACACACGTCGATCTGTCCGTGACATTATGATTTTTCCTTGTCCCGTGTTATTAGCCGACTCGGTGGTTCGACAATCGACAATACCCGATCGTACATGATCGCGGACGCTCAGTGTTTCCGTGTAGAGAACGGATGTTAATCCCGGAAACTCGTGATGACGTTTCAAAGATGGCTTCCGAGATATTGTTTACCTTTTTATTCCTTGTTCCTTTCGTTTCTCCTTTTTCTTATTCTTTCTTCTTCTTTTTTTTTTCGTTTATTTTCTCCAAACTGATTGACCAGAATTGATCTGCAGAATGCACTGCAACGCGTGTTCGGGAATTGATTGACCATTACGAAACAAATCTTTCATTCGGCGCGCAGAGTAACTTCAAATCCGTTGCTTAACCTCTTGGCTGTGATGCCACGCTTTTAAAAGCGTGTATCCACGTTGTGTCAGTGACGATTATACTCGTCAAACACAGATTATGTATAGCTGCTGTAAAATTGAATTAAATTGTTAGGATATAACGCTGGTTTTTTTTTTTAAATCAATAATTTTATTGTTTAATTTAATTAATATTAAATTATAATAATAATTAATGTTAACAACGGGAAAATATTTAGAAATGATCTAATCAAGTCTAGTCTCAAAATATTCCGAAATATCTAAGATTTAATAATTTTGTAACGTTTTATTTTCCACGAAAGATTTAATTTAAGTAACAGATTGTAATCACCTTTCTTGTATACTCGTCATTCGCAGCTAAGAGGTGAAAATTTTCGTTAAAATCTGTGCAATTTACAGTAATACTAACTTCTGTTCTACGAGGATTCAGAATAAAGCAAAGAGGGAAAATACAGTAGTCGGCTACAAACTTATTTAAATTGTTATTATTTCGTAGTAAGAAATCATATAGGAATGAATTTGGGCTCTTTTTAAAGGGTGAAACTTCTGCTTTCGCAATTTTGAATTCATTTTTCACAAAAACGTTTTTTTTTTTTATATCATGTAGTAAAGGAAAATAAAAAAAATACTGTTCTTCCTCGAAAACGCTATGAATCTACGAAGCATTGAAAAATTTTTTTTCAATGAATCTACTATGAATTTGAAGATTGATACCTCTAAAATTTGCTGTATGATCTTTTCTTCGCCGAGTTATCGAACTTTGAATAGCAGTTGATCGTTGAAAATTCAAGAGATTCTAAGATTTCCAATTTTCGTCGTTCCTGGATATATATATTCAGTTTAATAACTCGACGAAAAGAAACGACACAGCAGGTTTTAGGATATCGTTGCAAAAATCAGTGACGAAAATTTTCAATTTTCAATTTTTCGAGAGTTTATTAACGTTCGAATTTTCGCGAAAGAACGTATAAAATATCTTACTACACGATGTGAAAACATCATTGTGGAACATTCTTTTCCGAAATTGTGAAAGCTGAGATTTATTGCCGTGCGATTTTAATTTCCAGTTACGAAATTATAACAGTCCGAGATATTTTTCGAAACGTTAAATCAGAAATTTAATGTACACACACGTGAGTTCGTGACCGGTGAATACTTCGATTTTCCAAACACGGGGGTTCTACGATGGCCACAGGATCGATTAGAAAATGAATTTTGGTACAGCAATGAGCTGTTTAACGTCTGAAATTGCGCGGAGAGGGTTTACGATCAGCCGGGATTGAAAGATTCGTACGAGTCGGAGACGAAACAGGGAAGGGAGACGAGATTCGTTCGTTGGCAATGGAGAACGCGTTTACTGTTGTAAATGTGTAAAATTTTCATAGAAAATTATGAATTTTGATGGTTCTAGTGTTAAAAGCTGCCCAGAGTTAGGAGTCGCCGAGATTGAATCGCGTCACAGTCACAATACAGTCACAGTCACAGTCACAGTCACAGTCACAGTCACAGTCACAGTCACAGTCACAGTCACAGTCACAGTCACAGTCACAAGCCCACCTCCTCTTCCGACCTGCCTGCGCCACTGCAGAGCTGCAAACAATCGATAAAAGTGAAATCGTCGTCGCAGCTTCCGAAGGTGGAACGACCGATCGTCGACACGGCGCCTAGAACCTTACACCCTGCCCAAGACCCGGACAAACGATTCTATTCAGTTCCCAAATCACATCCAGTTTAACCCTTTTTGTACCGAAAGATACTACGATATATCGGCTCTTTACTCTAGCTCCGAATATTTTTTGAATATTTCGGCTTATCTTTTTACAGGGGGCTTATCTTTTACTATCAAGAGGCAGTATTTTTTTTTTTTTTTTTTTGAAGAGAAACAAGTCCATTTATTCATACATTGAGATATATTTAAGTTTTCACTCGAATGAACTAAAGAATATTGTGAAACGTTAAGAAATTTGGAAGAAATGTTTTTGAAACTGTTAGATGTTTTAAACTCGTTTTGAAATGTGTTAAATTTTATTATATAATAATAATGAATAGAAAAGAAAGTAATTCTTTATTACGTTATAAAAACAGTATATAATAAAAAGCACGTCAATAATTAACACGATTAGAAAGATTTTTTAATTATTTTTAAAATTCAACTTACACCACTTTCAAAAAAAAAAAATATACGGCTGATATATGTTTCACCGAGATTTTTACACATTCTGTTTCCACGACAATGTTTTATAGTTGCAAATAATACGTACAAAAATTGCTAAAAAAAGGTACTAAGAGGGTTGAAGAAGAAATCCATCGCGAAATAACGTTAAGACGACGTTGCATCGAACTTCCGTTCCTGTGATCTTCGAAGATTCCTCTTGAAGGATGGCTCGAATCGTGTCACATATCTTTCGAAATCGAATTTAGTGCCCAAGAGTCAATATATCAGCTTCGTAATCTTTGTCTTGTTTCAACACTTCGCACAGTTGTAGTGTTTCGGCTCTTATAATTATTTTTATAAAAAATATTTCTAAAGAGGTAGCCGTGATCTGTTTCTACGGCGAACACTTTGCAACTCTAGACCAGAGCTTCTCAAACTTTTCCACTTGGCGATTCTCTTCACCCGAGTAAATATTTACACGATCTTGGATACAGAGGTACATAAACTAGGAGTACGAATCAAAACTTTCGCTGACAATAAATCGTAAAGAAAATTTATTCGAAAACAATTCTTTGGTACACACAATTTTACCGTGTATTAAAGACAAAGCCCGATATTTCAGAATAATATTTTAGTCTTGATCTAATTTTTGCTAAAATTCCTGCAACCTCCAAATTTAGTTCATTCGAGAAACCCTGTTCTAGACGATGTATATAAAAATAGAATCGCAATGTACTGAGAGGGTTAAATTGCAGATGCTCACTTGTAAATGTTCCAATGTTCATATTTCCAATCCGACTTAACCTCACGTTTCTAATCTAAATCTAACAATAAGCTCTCCAAAATTAACCTCCAATCTAATTCAAGAATGCAACCTTAGGATCCAATCCTAGAAAGCGAAAGGACCGGGTGGTAATGCCCTCTATTTGGGTTTGGATACAACATGGAAGAGATAGATACAACAGAGCCCTGCTTCCCCCCCCCCCCTTTACCCTCTGCCGCCATAGTAAACCGATAGAGAGCCGAGCTATAGAAACGTAGCTACGTTCCCCGCCTTCTGATCCCGGTAGATCTCCTTTCTCTGTCTATGTGGCGTTGTTGTTGTTGTGTTGCATGCAGGAGGCCGGCTAGTACCTGGCGGGATCGCCAGTCCCCCGGGATCTGGCGGCTCGACCGGAAACACCGGGAATTCGAATTCGGCGGCCGCGAGACGCGGCAATCGCAGACTCACGCGCAATGAGAGCCGCTATCATTCCGGTGAGTACATTATCACACACTTGCAGCTGGACGATTAAACGGCCCGAAGCGTGGCGAGAAGATACGTTAACGGGTTCTTAACCCTGGCACGACGGCGACTCTGCATGCATTACCGTTTACTTATTCAAGCTGTAACTGAAAAACATGGTTGTCCACCAGCCGCGTCTTACCCGTCTCTGTCTTCGTGTCTCCATCGATCCCTTTCGCAAGCCAGCTTCGTCCTACTCTCACTGTTACTTTCTCGTCTCTACGACTCTCTTTCTCGTTTCCTTCCTTTTTCTTCTTTTTTCTCTCCTCTCCTCTGCTTGTCCTTTTTTCTTTTCTCATCGTCCAAGCTTTTTTGCTTCTCTCTCTCTCTCTCTGTCTCTGTCTCTGTCTCTGTCTCTCTGTCTCTCTGTCTCTCTGTCTCTTTTTCTGAAACGATTACAATTCAAGAATGGAACCGATCTTTCTTTTTATTTTCCCCGGTTTTCTCTCTTTTTCTCTTTTAACGTCTGCCTCGCGCCGTTACGGCTTGGTTATACACAGCAGCTCTTGTGAAATATTCCGCGCAGAGCGCTGCAGCACTACAGCGACAACCACTCGAGGATATTCAAATTTTTATGGAGGAATTAGCAACGAGGCCGTCGCCGCCAGGGTTAATCCAGCAACCGTAGAAACTATCCGAGCGACAGATTCTCGATCAATAAAGTCGCACGCTGTCGCTTGCCCGCCGCAGTCGATAAAAATGTCCCGCAGTTGCGAAAACCAGCTGTGCTCGCCTTCTTGGATTATTTGTCGTTTGTCCTTCGTCTGCTCTGTCGGTTGATCGAGGATGCGTCGATCGTAGGTAGACGTATCGAATGACGTTAGACCTAAGATGATCTGCCAGACTGAACACGCTTGAAAATCGTAACTCACGCCCGAACGAGCGTGCATTAAGCTCGATTAGCTCGGGTACGCGGAAACACGCTCGCGGAGCGCATGGAATGCGCTTTGGTCGGCGCGAGTGGTCTTCAACTCTGATGAAGCATTTCCTGCGTTCGAGCGCGTATACACTCGCCTGGCGATTAACTCGCGAAGCAAATCGTCAAACCTGCAGCCACTGCACGATATGGACACGACTGCCCTCGCGAATTCCACCAACGCGCGGGAAATTGTAGTCTAGATTTTTTTCAAACTTTTTTCGATCCTCTCGCGACTTGCTCTCTGAGATCGCTACAGTAGCGCGCAAAAATTGATTTTTCCGTATTTTCACACCAATGGAAATCCATTATACAGACTGGCGATATTTCGCATGAAACTTTTTTGCGAAAGTAGCATAGAATCAGAATAGAAATTAAAGCACAACTTTATCATACAGGATGGGCCTAAAGTTTCTTCGCATCTTTTTTTTTTTTTTTTTTTATAAAACATCAAAATATAAGAAAAAACCAATTGTAAATATATGGTGAAAAAAAACCGCTGCATTTTTCATAATATTCCTTCATACACTATGCGTTCCAATAAACAGCACGAACGAAAATTTATTTGGGACTGTCTTTGGATGGAGACTATGGAAAAATCAAACTTGCGCACACCATTGTATATCGTGTGTATTATACTTCAGTGCTCGTCGGAACGAAACGAAAACCGAACGAACGGTTCTCTGGTGCAGCAGGAACTTCGTGCAGAAATTTCATTTGTACAGAGGCAGAGGCAGAGATAGAGATAGAGAGAAAACGAAGCTTGACCGGCACACGGGCAATCTCTCGCGCAGCTGGTTCACCGTTACCGCTCGAAGAGGACGAGCGTGAAGCGCGCGCGAGGATAAATCGCTGCCCATCCGACTAACGTCTGCCAACGGTTACACATAAAACGCGTAAACATCAACACAACTCTCGACTTGTGAAATGCCGATCGTCTTGGAGAGATCTCTCCCTCTGTCTTCTACCAGAATGACTCATGAGTTAGTGCGTTTTTTAAATTAAAACTTCAAACGTATAACCTTACTTTTCGAAATAAGGGCCATTCAGTAGCTTTCAGCTAATTGCTGGATTCCTCGATGAGCACGCCCTATCCTTCGATGCGAAAAATTCACGGCAGCTTTGATGTTTCGAAATTTCATCCATGTAAAAAATGTACGCTGAATCGGAAAAGATAAAAATCCGATAAGAATCCGAGCAAGATTCAGTGGCGTTGAGATCTTGGATTTTTTTCATTGTTTTTTCGGATGAAGCGTTGCAGTAAAACAGGCTTTCTGTTAATTAAATATTAATTAATACGGTCTGTCAACGTTAATTAGTACGTACCCGTAGAATTCCACCAAACATACAGCAATATCTTTAATTATTTAATTACCGATTTTGCTTATCTGAACTAATGAAGTAGATCCTCTTCTCATCGCACGTTCCAATTCGGCGGATAAAAACGGATTTTGCAACGATGTCTGACGAATTTCTGCCCTTAAGTTTCTGCAAATTATCTCGAGACGTCGTTTACCAATCTTATGCGATGCCATGGCAAAGATTATGAAAGTTTAAACGGATAATTGTTGAGTACTCTTTGATGGATTTAAAATCCACACAGCTTTCATGTAAAACTTGCACAAGAGTATGGTATCGATCTTCGATGCTGGTTCCTACGGCACTGAATTTCTCAAATCATTTTTGCACAGTACAAACTGAAACTTCAACCTCGCCGCTTCGGTCGCTTTGAAATTTCTTTTCCTAAAAGCATACGAATTTTAAAATTTTTTTTATATTTCTTATATTATAACCTCTATGTACAATATTTCTTATAATATAACCTCCAATAATGTAACCTCGGCAATATAACCTCCAATCGGTAAAACAAAACACTTCAATTACCCACAGAATCACGTGCCAAACAGAACAATTGAATATTGAATTTCATTCGTCCTTAGTCAATACGAGAGGAATATGAAAGTTATACGAAAAAAAAAAAAAAAATGCACGAACTTTGACTCGCCCTGCTGTTCCTCTCAGCGTTCGTTCGTTCGTTCTCGTAAACGTTAGATTCTAGCATATCTTATTTTTGATCGGCAACGACGTTTAAAAGGGCAGACGAAGAACGAAATTGCGCGGCGAGGCGCGACAGAGACGAGCCGGATTCGATCGTTACATTTCCGCTCGAGGTGTATTTCTATCATTATTACGACGTCGTGCAACGTCGGGACGCAATTTGTTACGTAGAGCAGTGGCGCGATCGCGCACGTGTACCGCTGGAAATATGACGATTCGATACGCGCGTGGGTTCAAGAGGAAGTTACGAGAGGCTCGACGCGTATCCACCTAACCTTCAAATTCACCGGATTCTTTCGCCGTGAAACAAGCTTGAAAATTTCCTCCGTAATCGGTGTAAACGCAGGTATCCATATCAGAGGCAAAGAAAGGAAAAACTTACGCAGTGACGAGCAGAACTGAACACACGTTTGACATACGTAATATTTCATCGAGCTTCTGCATGCAAAATACGAAATAAAGCAAAATGTGTACTGTTTCAGCTTCGCGAAAAAAATTGTACGTACGACCTTGTTTATCATTGCTGTTCTTCGTGGAGTCAGTTTTTCACCACAATGATTAGTTGAAATGAAAGATTGTTGATGTTTTGTGTGTTGGAACTTCGTCTCGTTTTAAAACGTAGTTTCCTTTTTCACTGTCCTGAATTCGTTTTTTTTCCTCGAGATATTTTAACAATGTGTAACAAATGTTCTTTGATTGTAAAAATTCACTGAAGAATTTTGTTTATTACGATTAAATCCATTGCGATCTTGAAGATTGAAGTTCCTCATCTGCAATGATTTTTTTGAACTTTGAACATCAAAGTTAAAAAATCCAAACATTTCTGCATTTAATCTTAATGTTCAAAGTTCAATAAAAAAATTGGATTTTAAGGGGTCGTTGTAAAGAGAAAATTTCAATTTTCAAGACTACGGTGGATTAAGTTACCAAAACAAAAAAAAAAAAAAAATTTTTTTTCATTCATCTGTTCTTTCAGATGTTTGAATTTTTATAATTTTCAAAACTGAAAGCATCTTTACGTTCTTATTCTCTGCGTTGATCTTTGAAAAACTTGCAAAACAAAATAGAAATTTTACACTTGAATACGATACTCGTTGATTTCCTTCTACGAAGTATCGACGAGTTTTCATCAGTTTCTTGCGTTCAGTTATGCTCGTTGCTGTGAAAGCTCTTCGCCGCGTTGAACTTAAAGGTTCGCAAGATTTTCCTCGCGTGTCTTTCTCGCAGCAAAGTTAGAGAATGGTCGACGGATAGTGAGAAAATTGCGAGCTCGTTCGCTTGATCATTCGACTCTGAATGCACAGAGGTGCGCCAGGAGGCGGTGCAGCAAGCTTTGGCAGCGATGCAAGGTCGTCCGAAGCCGTCGTTGCCGATGCCGTCGAAGAGAACCTCCGTGATGGCCAGGAGTCCCGACCGGGAGCGTCGCGACAGCGGTGAATCCAGCAGCGACGAGGACAGCGTCGTCACCGAGGAGAGTCCCGGTGCTGGTGGTCCAACGGGTATATATCCTCGAGTAGTATCCTCATTGTTTATCATCGTCTCTCGGCCATCCTTCTGCTGCTCGCGGCACGATAAATTACACGCGTCTCTTCCACTGTGTGTGTGTGTGTGTGTACCTACACATGTACTTATATACACTCCCGCTCAGAAACCTTAGGACAAGTACATACTACCTTTGTGTATAATACAAATGGTACGATAAACGTAAATTATAAATTGCACACGACGAATATAATATTTGCAATGTAAAATATATCAAGTCTCTATTGCGTGAAATATCTTTTGTATTTGTTATATTTAATTGTGTACAATATAGTATAATAAGTATATATTGAATACGTACGATTATACAAATATTGTATTATATACGATATAATTAAATATAATAAGTATAAAAGATGTTGCAATGTGAAATATATCAAGTCTCTATTGCGTGAAATATCTTTTGTTATATTTAATTGTGTACAATATAATATAATAAGTATATATTGAATACGTACGATTATACAAATATTGTATTATATACAATATAATTAAATATAATAAGTATAAAAGATGTTGCAACGTAAAATATATCAAGTCTCTATTGCGTGAAATATCTTTTGTATTTGTTATATTTAATTGTGTACAATATAGTATAATAAGTATATGTTGAATACGTACAATTATACAAATATTGTATTATATACAATATTATATATAATAATTGTATTATATAATTAAATATAAGTATAAAAGATGTTTTATACAATAGAAACTTGATTATGATAGTGTATTATATATTGTATTATTATATTATAATACAGAATACATTTAATTTTAAATTAAAATTAGATACAATGAATATAAAACATTTATATAATAGAGATTCTGTTGATATATTGATATATTGTTTGTTACATACAATAATAGAAAATAATTTAATTTTGAATTAAAATATAAATACAATGCGTGCAATATAATTAAATGCGTATTATATAATTAAATATAAGTATAAAAGATGTTTTATACAATAGAAACTTGATTATGATAGTGTATTATATATTGTATTATTATATTATAATACAGAATACATTTAATTTTAAATTAAAATTAGATACAATGAATATAAAACATTTATATAATACATATTCTGTTGATATATTGATATATTGTTTGTTACATACAATAATAGAAAATAATTTAATTTTGAATTAAAATATAAATACAATGCGTGCAATATAATTAAATACAATAGATACAAAACATTTACACAATAGAGACATATTAATATATTGTATTATTATGTTACAATACATACATACATACATACAATTAAATACAACAAATATAAAGCATATACAGTAAAGCATACACACTCTGTCAGTACATTAATACGTAGCATTAACGTTGCATTATAAAACATATATACACGATAATTGACGACAAGTATATCAAAAATAAAAACGTCCAAGACTTTTTCTTTTTTTTGAGTGGGAGCGTATGTGTACACATGTATGTAGCTAGCTCGGCCATTTATCTATTTGCACTACGCGGCAAATGACGTGGAACTGGTTATGCGACTTTTCCATTGTACGGAGAGGGCCGCTTGGATTCCACGCGGTTAATGCAAATCCGTTGTCGAGATACTCGGATCGGCCACGAGACAACAGACCTCCGGCCCGAAAGAGAGAGACCGTGTCCAGTGAGAACACACTGTGTGTTCAGTACCATCGAGAAAATTCAGCCGGAGAGAAGTTGGCTCGTGCGTTGGCTTCTCTCCACGTGAGATCCATGTGAGATGATCCATGGTGGACGTTTTAGGCACAGGGCTGTCGGATACCAGCAGCACCGGTTCCGCCCGAGACACGCCCCCGCCACCAAGGCCACCGGCCAGGAGACCTCCTGGTGCTGACATCACCGACATCGCGGAGTACACGCCTCACGCGTACTGCAACATACAGCCGCCGGACGTGACGCACACCAGCAACACACCGGCCGCGCAGCAGTCGACCAGGCGACCGGGCGCCGATCGTGTCAATCGTTACCACGTCGTCGAGGATCAGAACAACACCGGGACCACCGGCCGCTGGAAGGTGTCCGCCAAGATTCAACAGTTGCTCAACACGTTGAAACGGCCGAAACGGCGGCCGTTGCCGGAGTTCTACGAGGACGATGACATCGAGCTCGAGATCGCCGCCAATCCCAAAGACCCGAACGCCCCGAAACCGGAGGGCGGTTCTATGACCTCCGCGGTCGGTGAACCACTATCGGTCGCCGCTGGCTTGCCCAGGTCGCTCGAGGCCGCCATACAGAGGTGAGCAACCCGGGCCCGGGCCAGTTTCCAACTTTCTTTCTTCCGTCGTTCGATGATTCACCGAATTGTTTTTCTCATTCCTCTTCTTCTTGTTTCTTTTCTTTCTGTGAAATACCCCCGTAGGTACGGCTCGGCATCGTACAAAGCGCCGGTGGCAACCGTTCTCGATCCAAACGGCAAACTCTGCGTAACGCTGACTTACGGAAAGCTTCTGAGCCGTTCCCACAAGATAGCGTACACGCTGCTGAACAAGGCGCTGAGCCGCGGCGGGGATTGCTGCCTGAAACCCGGCGACCGGATCGCCCTGGTCTATCCGAACAACGACCCGATAAGCTTCATGTGCGCCTTCTACGGTTGTCTTCAAGCTGGCATCGTACCTGTACCGATCGAAGTCCCCCTGACCCGTCGGGACGCGGGCTCCCAGCAAATCGGCTTTCTCCTGGGTAGCTGTGGAATTCAGGTGATGAGTCCAAACGAGCAACAAATGGTTTCGCCAGTCTCTCCGAATCTCACAATTCTCTCGGGAAATCGGGAATTCGCGTTTTCCAGGTGGCGTTGACCAGCGAGGCTTGCCTGAAGGGTCTGCCAAAGACGGCGGCCGGCGAGGTGGTGGCGTTCAAAGGTTGGCCAAAGCTTCATTGGTTCGTCACGGAGCACTTGGGCAAAACGCCGAAGGATTGGCTGCCACCGCCGCGACTCACCGACGACACACCGGCGTATATCGAGTACACCACCGACAAGGACGGCTCGGTGATGGGCGTGACGGTGACTAGGTCGGCGATGCTGGCACATTGTCGAGCTCTGACGCAAGCCTGCGGCTACACCGAGGGAGAGAACGCCGTGTGCGTTTTGGACTTCAAACGGGAGGTCGGCCTCTGGCACAGCACCCTCACCAGTGTTCTCAACGGGATGCACGTGATTTTCATTCCGTACGCCCTGATGAAAGTGAATCCCGCCAGTTGGATGCAGATGATCACGAAGCACCGTGCCAGCGTGGCGGTGGTGAAGTCGCGGGACCTCCACTGGGGCCTTCTGGCCACCAAGGATCACAAGGATATCTCCTTGTCGTCGCTCAGGCTGTTGTTGGTCGCCGACGGTGCCAATCCCTGGTCTCTCTCTTCCTGCGACCAGTTCCTTTCCGTATTCCAGTCGAAGGGTCTACGGCCGGACGCCGTGTGCCCGTGCGCGTCCTCCAGCGAAGCTCTCACCGTGTCGGTCAGAAGACCAGGCCGTGCCGGGGTAAACGCCACAGGACGAGGCGTGCTTTCCATGTCCGGGTTGAGTTACGGCGTCGTCAGAGTCGATCAAGAGAACTCTCTCACCTCTTTGACGCTTCAAGATTGCGGTCAAGTCATGCCTGGAAGTACGTTCTTTCCGCCAAGAGTTGTACAGAGTGGAAAGAGAAGTTTGTCCGTAGCTGTCATAGATGAATTCTACACCTTCGATTTGATGAAAATACATGTAAAGAACTTGCCTTGAATTTTTCTTTTTGCATTGTATTCTATAATCTACTCATCACGAAGGTAAAATTTTTTCATAGATCGCAGCCTAATAGTTCTCTTGAAAAATGGTAGAAAAATTTCTTAACGTGCGCGTGCTGGATTGGATTACACTAACATTTAATTTATCATAGTTGTAGCATCAGTTTGAGTCCAAGTAATCAAATAAACTAACTGTTAACATTATTCGAAATATAAACTTTACATCCACCTGTCCAGAATCATAAAGCCGCTGTTAGAACGCATGTGTTAAATAATTAAGAAACTTTTTTGCCATTTTTCAAGGGAACTATTAGCTTGCGAACTATGGTTCCTTGAAAAAGTGATGAGTAGAATACAATGCAAAAAAAAAAAAAATTTTTTTTTTTGACTTTGAAATTCAAAGTCGAGATCAGTTTTACAAGTTCGTTACACGTAAACTTCTCTTTCCACCCTACGTCGTACGTTGGCGACTCGTGGCCAAATGGAAACTGGAAATACCTGTCCATTTTTCAGGTATCGTAGTTGTGATCAAGATGGAAGGTCAGCCGTTCATCTGCAAGACCGACGAAGTAGGCGAGATCTGCGTGCACAGCTCGGCGACTGGAAATCAATACTGGGGCCTACAAGGGCTGACGAACAACACGTTCAAAGTCTCGCCGCTTCAAGCCGACGCAAGCCCGCTCGGCGACGTCGAGTACACACGTTCTGGTTTGTTGGGTTTCTTGGGCCCTGGCGGTCTCGTGTTCGTTTGCGGCTCGCGCGACGGTCTTATGACTGTCACCGGGAGAAAGCACAACGCCGACGATATCATCGCCACGGTCTTAGCCGTCGAGCCAATGAAGTTCATTTATCGCGGAAGAATAGCCGTTTTCAGCGTGCGCGTCCTCAGGGACGAGCGAATATGCGTGGTCGCGGAACAACGACCCGACTGCAGCGAAGAGGAAGTACGTTTCCAAATCGTTTATGTCGCCTGTAAATAACTTCAAATGCCGTTTATTTCCTCAGAGTTTCCAATGGATGTCGCGGGTTCTTCAAGCGGTCGATTCCATCCACGCCGTTGGGATATACTGTCTGGCGTTGGTACCGCCGAATTATCTTCCGAAAACGCCGCTGGGCGGTATTCACCTGTCGGAAACGAAACGACGTTTCCTAGAGGGTACTCTTCACCCGGCTAACGTTCTTCTTTGTCCGCACACTTGCGTTACCAACCTACCGAAACCACGCGAGGTCCATTCAGGTAAGAGATTGCACATTCATCAGTGAGTACTGTCCCCGTGCCCAGGTGTCGATTGAACTTACACGGACTTTCGACGAATTACATGAATGTCAGCAAGTACAAAGACGTATATACATTCTTTTTTTTTTTTTTTTGTTGTAACATTACTTCGTTTTTTTTTCTTCTTTGTCTATTGTAATTTAAGCAAAGACCCAAGAAACTGGTGCGAAGACGACACTCTGTCGTCGGACGATGTTGACGACGTTGATTTGAAGAGCTAGATTGCTCAGAAGCGTTGCCAATTTGTTGGATCGTTTTGCTTAAACGTACAGGAGAATGATCAATGGGAGAATGAATGAGCAGTTCTTTTATAATTAACTCTCGATCACGGATTTCGCTCTGTCAAAGAGTTATTCTCATTAACGTAATATATAAAGGAACGTTAACACTTGCGCTTTCTTACAAAGTTATCAGTAGGCTTTCAGTAACTTGGCACAGAAAGTAAACGAAAAGTATATAACTGTCTCTTGCTACATATCATGTATCTTGTTAACCCTCCCAACACTAAAATATTTCATGCTTGGCATGTTGTTCTATTATTTTTACCCTTCTTTCTTTTGGCTGAGTTCCGAACACCCTGTAGTAGCCCAAGCCTATAGACGAGTTGTTTCCTAGCGATGTGAGATTCTTCTCGGTTCTCTTCTTTGCAAATACATATGCAAATACATTGTGTTTGAATTACGCGCGCGCGCGCGAAAAGGAAACTGCCTTCTAACAACTTCGATCGTTACGTAGCACGTACAATTTTCAATTAATGGTTCGGACGCTTTCGATTAAATTTCACATCGCTACTTGACCATACGTCCTTGGTGGAACGTCGAATTATTTTGTTTCTTGAGTATGTACAGTCCACGGAATGCTCAGAGCACGTCTGTATATAAAGGACGCGCGCGTGATCACCTTACGACCAATAACAAACCAGTTCACGTACCTAGCTTTGATTTTCCGGCCTCAGTCAGGGGAGAGTGTGTGAGCTACTCATTTATTGGGTTGAGTGTTTGTGTTGGTTTACTAACGGAATGGTGCGGGGGCGTGTAGCGGGGGATTCTGTTGCAGACGTTGGTCCGGCCAGTGTCATGGTGGGCAACATTGTTCAGGGTAATAGACTAGCTTCGGCTCAAGGACGGGACATGGGTGTTCTGGACGAGGATAGTGACAATGCTAAAAAGGTTTGTCTCTGTAGTAGTTACAGTAGTCCTCACTTGAACGTCCGAACTTTTCCCCCGTTTAATTCTTTGGGGTTAGGTGGGTTTAACCCTTTGCGCTGGGCAACTGGTTCGCGGACCATAACGAGTGACCGAACCGTGTACGATAATTTGTCGTTATCTTTTTTTTTTTTTTTTTAACTCGTCGGTATGATATCACTGGATAGAAATTATTAAGAAGTAACAAATTTATTTGTTTTGCCTGGGTTCCATTTAAATATACTTAAAATTGAGGAAATGTTGCAATTTGGGACAAAAAATTCTCGACGTGCGGTGGCACGTTAGTCCAACGCAAAAGATTAAAATGTCCCACATTAAAGATTTATTTAAATATTACTTTTTTTTCATTTTAAGAAATATTTTATGTTTAATAATTGAAATAAACGTTTTCTTTCCTTTTTTTATATTAAAAAAAATTCCGTGCGCGTGTAAAATATTTCTTAAAATGAAAAAAAAGTAATCTTTTCATCTTTCAGAGTGGGACATAAATAATCCCACCAGTGCACTAACGTTTTAAATGAAATTCATTGAAACACATCTTTAGGTGGGTTAAAAAATATCCCACCATGCATTAACTGTAAAAAAAAATATGGGACAATTTTAAATCCACCTAATCCCAAAGAGTTGATCGTTCGTTATCGCTATCTTCATCTTGATTCTTGAAATTTGGACTTATCTCACTCTACCTTACCGACGTGCGACACTGATATTTCGATCCCGACTGCGGACGCTCAAGTAGGGATTGTTGTTTTTCGTACTGTTTTTTTTTCCTCCTGTTCTCGACTTACATTTTCTATTGTGTTTTTCAGTATCAGTTCATCTCTGAAATACTTCGATGGCGTGCTGTCAGTACCTCCGACCACGTGATATTCACGTCGTTGAACGCGAAGGGAGCGGTGGCGACATCGTTGTCGTGTTCGCAGTTGCACAAGAAAGCCGAACGGATCGGGAATCTGTTGCTAGATCGTGGAAGGATCAATACCGGGGACCACGTTGCGTTGATATTCCCCCCCGGTACCGACTTGATATGCGCGTTTTATGGTTGCCTGTACGTTGGCGCCGTGCCAGTTACGATTAGGCCGCCTCACCCGCAAAATCTTCAAACCACCCTGCCAACCGTTCGCATGATCGTGGACGTTAGTAAGTCTGTGCTCGTGCTCACGAATCAAAATATCCTGAAACTGTTGAAAACAAAGGTACATCGACGTGTCATGATTCCAATGTACTTTACACAATATCGATCGATATCTTGTGTGTTTAACCCTTTAACTGCTCAGTTTGAACGTCTACACCTTAACTTGGCTCTTATTAATCAGCGGTTAAAGTGTTAAAACGTCTCTGACGAACGATTAACTTGACTGTTCACTGTTCAATGTCGTACAGGAGGCGAATAACGTCGTCGACATTAAGAGTTGGCCGACGATTCTCGATATGGACGACATGCCAAAGAAGAAGCTACCTGTTATGTATCGAGCACCCACGGCGGAGATGCTGGCATACTTGGACTTCAGCGTCTCGACAACGGGAATGCTTGCAGGAATTAAGATGTCTCACGCAGCGGTGACGTCTCTCTGTCGTGCCATGAAACTTGCCTGCGAATTGTATCCGTCTAGACACATCGCTCTGTGTTTGGATCCCTACTCTGGATTAGGATTTGCTCTTTGGTGTCTCAGCAGTATATACAGTGGTCATCATTCTATACTTATACCACCGTCGGAGGTTTGTTTCTTTCTTTCTATCTTTTATGCCGAAAAGACTGAAACAATACTAAGAACTTTCTCAACACTGTACCAAGTGTGTACAAATTTTTTTTCATTACTGTTCTCTCTACAGGTGGAAGCAAATCCAGCGTTGTGGCTGTCGGCAGTCAGCCAGTCCAGAGTGAGAGACACGTTTTGCTCTTACGGTGTGATGGAACTGTGCACAAAGGGCCTCGGTTCTTCCGTTCACGCCCTGAAAGCGAGAGGCGTTAGCTTAGCCTGCGTTCGAACGTGCGTCGTCGTCGCCGAGGAAAGACCACGGATCGCGCTCACCACGAGCTTCAGCAAACTCTTCTCCGCCCTGGGTCTGAGTCCTCGCGCCGTCTCCACCTCTTTCGGATGTAGAGTGAACACAGCCATTTGCTTACAGGTTCGCTTTTTTTTTTTTTTTTTATTGAATTTAAACATGTTGTTTTTAACAAGTTATGAAAATTTCTGTTACTGAATAATAATCGTTTTATCGGAACAGGGTGCATCGAGTCCAGAACCTTCCACCGTGTACGTTGATCTCCGCGCGCTGCGTAACGACCGAGTGTCCTTGGTGGAAAGAGGCAGTCCACACTCGCTGTGCCTGATGGAGTCGGGCAAATTATTACCGGGAGTGAAGGTGATCATCGCCAATCCAGAAACGAAAGGACAGTGCGGGGATTCTCATTTGGGCGAGATTTGGGTGCAGTCCGCGCACAATGCCAGCGGTTATTTCACGATATACGGCGACGAGAGCGACTACGCGGACCACTTTAACGCGCGCCTCGTGACAGGGAACACGAACGAGGTTTACGCCAGGACTGGTTATCTCGGCTTCCTAAGACGTACCGAGAGCGTTCAGCAATCGGTTATCAGTGACATTCCCGGTGACACTTCCGCCGAAGCTGATCTCGTTCCTGGCGACTCTGAATTGCACGACGCTGTGTTCGTGGTCGGCGCGCTCGACGAAGCCATTCTACTTAGAGGAATGCGATACCATCCGATCGATATTGAAAACAGCGTGATGAGGTGTCATAAGAAAATAGCGGAATGGTAAGCGAACACAGGCATTCGAGTTAACACATTGTATACGCGGGCCATTTTGCATGCCTCATCAGTCCTACGTGGCGTGATTTTTAGCGATGTTAAAAACTTACTAATATATTGTGAATATTTGTTTCTTCTTCTTTAATTACTCGATGTTTTCTTACTATAAAAAATAATTTTTATTCTGATTAAAAAGAAAAAAAAAACACTAAATATACTAAACTATTGGCGATGTGAAACGTATTAACTTCAAGCAAAATAATATGTCCATACGTTGTAAAGATTTAGATTTATTTTTTCTGGTAGTAACACATTATCTTATTTTATATTTTGTAATAGAATTTCATAATTTTCAACACTATTATAATAATTGTACATATAGAGGCACAATAGTTCGTATCGTTTCAGTTAATTTTAACCTCTGAGCACAATAAGTCTCAAAATTACACATATAGTCCATAATGCTTCCACACGACGTATTTTATAATTTTCGGTGGATTGTAGAGTCTAAAATTTCTTGTAAATTTATAAAAATAGTCTCTACAATCCACGATTTTACTTTAACGCAGTCTGTCAGTTCGCTTAAGAAAAAGTTACGCTACCAGCGATACGTTGAAAACGTCTCCTGCATACAATGTGTTAAACGAACGCTGTAATGTCGATCTAAGATCGTTTTAACATTGCGAAGAAGACATCTCGTTAGTAATAAAAAATATTTGTACGATTCGCAGCGCCGTATTTACGTGGACCAACCTCCTGGTAGTGGTGGTGGAGCTCGACGGAAGTGAAAGCGAGGCTTTAGATCTCGTGGCATTGGTTACCAGCGCTGTTCTGGAAGAGCATCATCTGGTGGTCGGTGTGGTGGTCGTAGTGGATCCCGGGGTAGTTCCGATAAATTCGCGTGGCGAGAAGCAACGAATGCACTTGCGCGATGGTTTCCTAGCGGACCAGCTCGATCCGATTTACGTGGCGTATAACATGTGAGCGATGTCAGTGGATGTAGGAAATGCCGAGGGAGAGACTGATATCGTTCCTTGCGATTACATCTCTAGCACCACGTTGATGCATAAGTATCCTCGACTCGAAGTCGCAAATTTTTGTCCTTATTTTAAACAAGGCAGTATCTCTGTGGACGGACTGGAGTATAACGCACGTGTACGTACTTCTCAAAGCGAACGTCATCCCTAAATTTCTTTGAGAAAGAGAAACATTTCTCGTTTGTCGTTGATGCATCGAGAGGGAATTTTGTATGAACCGAGAAACAGAGACGATGCGAAATAGTCGCTTTAAACAGGCGAAATTTTGACAAACGATCAGTTCATAAAAATGAATCATCGAGCCAGAATATTCTACTTGAAACGATGAAAAATGTAGGAACAATACAACCATATATACAGCATCAACGATTCTCTATTCGCAGCGAAGGAACCAGAAAAAAAAAGAAAAAAAGAAAAGAAAAGAAAAATGTAAAATCTTGAACATCTTCAAATTTCAGACTGCCACAGACAGGTGTATACAGCTCAGACATGATTCAGCTGTTTTGGCTAAAATCGTGCTTTTATACATTGTATTACCTGAATATTAAAGTGACGGATAGTACCATTCATTATTTATCAACGACATCAGAACGGTAGTGAGCTTTTTTATAAGAGAAAGACGGAAGAAGTTATTAAAAATAATAATAATAATTATAATAACAATAAAAATAACTATTTAAAAAAAAAATGGACGATTGTTCCGCAAACTACGTACAGGTATATCTAACTATCTGATGTCTATTAGAAAATGAAGTAAAAGAATTTGATACACTTTATCGCGTAGACTCGTGTAGCTTAACAATTTTTTACTACGTAAAGTAACGGTTAGCTAACGTAATCGTAATTATCGTAAACGTAAAAAAAACGTTTTAACTATCGACATTTTTTCTAATATACGGTTTTGCTGAAGAAGCAATATACATACAGTTCGCTATCGCTCTGACTATCCAGATTTCGTTTCGGAAAAATTTCTACGTTGTTGGTCGTCTTACAACGATATTTACGATTGAATGGACTTGGAAACATGAACGAATGGTTTCAAATTGGTGAGGTGTTTGATCATATTTAGCTGCGTTGCGCACAACATCGCACTTTTTATACGTTGAAGTATTTATATTATATTGCGCAGCACGCAATAAACCCACAACAAACGTTGTTATATTTGTTCTGAAAATGTACCTTTCTTTTCCTTTTGCATATACGTTTATATATATATAAACGTCCATTTTTTTAAGTCTGTTTTCTTTCAATCTTGAAAGATACGTGAAGAAATGATTTATTGCGTGCTGGGAAAGGGTACACTTTGAAAAGTCAACCGAACACCCGAATCATTTAGTCAATTTTTTCATAACAAAAGAAGACTAAGGCGCCATTAACGCAAATTCGCATCTCAGGGTTTTAGATCATTTGTAACAAACAGTGTAGAACAATTTTCTTTGGATTGACATTTGAAAGGAAGAAAGAAAGGCAAGGAATATGATAGCACAAAGAATTCAAGCAAGAAAATATAAAAAAGTACAGTTGAAAAAGGTAGCGTCGATGCATCTGACTCTGCAGTTTTTCTCACACTTTAGTCGATGAGAGAAAAAAAGTTACCCTCGAGCTATGAATATCCGGTCATACATACACGCCAAAAATTTCTATTATACATACATACGCCAGATTTCTTCTACGTTTCTTACCTTCTCGTGCACAAATGCGTTCTTTTTCTGAAACTGGCCCTCTTGAGGGTCGAAAGCTCAATCTATGTATATGAACAGTGTTATAGTCGACTTTCGGGTTTGTCCAATTTCGTTTCTTTTCTTTTTTCTTTTCTTACTCTTACACGTTATAAAATATTGCCTCAGCTTTAGAAGTTTAGTTGCGTCGTTCATTGAGGAGATCTTGTATCATTGAGTTTTTAAGATAGGAGAACCGGACGAAGTTGGAAGAAAAGTGACAACGTGTGGCCATTATCGTTGGCCTATTGAGCAGAGAATTCCGAATCAAACCCGAAAGTCGATCGTGTCCTTTCTCCTTCGCACGGAGTTTTATTATTTTCGAGACGTTTTCTATCGATGTGTATATTTGTTGATAGTTTTATAATTTTATATTCTTATTTTAATACACAATGGCATACGAATACGAGACGCGCACTGACCCCATCCAGGGTCATTGCTAAAAATCGATTCATGCGACTAACAAAAGCGCAGATTTGTCAATTTCTTTTTTTTTTCTTGCGAGTATGTGTGTGTGTGTATGCGTGTGTGGGTGTGTGTGGGTGTTGTTAGAAGGCTCGTATTAAACTCCGGTGCCTGTTGCTATTGCTCTACATATCATAGTCTTGTTTTTTTTTTTTTTTTTATCGCACACTGCAAGAACACAGTGGCGCGAATGCAAAACTTGTTGCAAAAGATCTAGATTGTGCTAACGGTATTTGGCAATTTATGCAAAAGAGAATTAAGGCGAGTGTTGTGCAATATTTCTCGCTCGTGGCATCTCTCGAGTCGATCCCGGAGATTACAAAAGTCGTTTCGAAATCTAAGTCAATGAATGCGGAGAACTCGTCGAATACACGTGAATAGAAGAGACGAGTAAAACGAGCAAAGCGAGAAGTAATTATAACGACACAAAGCGGAGGAGTATGTCGAGTAAAAATTTAATACGAGCCTCGTCAGTTGGAAGTTGATTTATCGGCGAACAATAGCGATCATCGGCGACAGCCTCTCGTTAACGCATAAACGTCATTGCAAGTTATTAGTTATTATCTCAGATGCCGGACGTCCATTTACAGGCGTCGTGTAAATACGTATGTACGAAAGCAGAGGAATTAGGATCCTTTTCTGCGACACGTCTTACATTTCTGACAATTTCTTCCCCTGTTTATAAGTATAATTTTCATTGTGATGTTGGTTTGGCACAGCACGCAACGTGCACAAAAAAAAAAGGAAAAAAAAGAAGATCGTTTATCCCTTCTTTTGTCAATTTTATTTCGGTAGCGACGAGTTGAGTGACTAATCAGACATGAGGGAAGAAAATGTAAAACGTTTCAAGCGTAAAGGTTGTTAAAGCACGGTTCTGTCGGTCTGTTGCCTCTCTTCATTATTATTATTATTTTTTTTTTTTTTTCTAATGATTATCGTGCCATGTCACCTTGCGTCCTTTTGAGCTTTTACGCACGAAGAAACGAAACGTCCGTGACGAGAACGAACGAAACTACATAATCATGCTCGTATCGATTCACCGGTTATTTTATTTAAATATAGTAGCCGATCGGTGAGATTCTCGGGACGTTGTTATTAATCCACGTAATAAGCGTAAGTAAACTAAGTAAATAGATGCCTGCGGATATAAACGGGCGAATCCGCGCGGCGAAAAATCGCTTTCCTCGTGCGTAGAAGATCCGATAACACAGCGGTGCACCCCGATCACCGGTAGGAATGTGCAGCGTCAGCAAAAATTTTTATCGAGTTCGACTAAAAAGAAGGAACCCCGTTTTCTTTTTTTTTTTTTTTTTTTTTTTTTTTTTTTCTATTTATTACGCAGCGCTGTATACGACACGCGCGCATTGTTTCCTTTTCGTTCCCCGGTTGCTCTATCCATATTTACAAAATGTGTTCCAAGTATGGTTTCCAAGTACAAACGTCGAGATCGTGTTCTCGCTCTTTCGAGTGGCTCGTTCGTTTACTGTGTGCAATGTCTGTTCAACAAACAAAATTTGTACAGGTCGGTTTGCATCATCTTTCGGAGTGTTTTTTACCAAGCTGCAACTTGAGTGAGTAGTGAGAGGGAGAGGGGAAAAAAAAAAAGAGCGACTGAGAGTCTTTTCCACGAAAGTTTTTCACTGTCGAGAAAAAGTATTTTCATTGACGAGTGTTGAGTTGACGATGTCCACGCACGACGATGTTCACACACGGGCCACGCAAATGGGGTGGACCACCGGTGGAGGATCGAACGAAAAGAAAGGGAAGGAAGAGAAAACGTTACGCAATCCTACGAGTGGCGTTGAGAGTGCGTGCGTGCGAGGAACTTGGTTGTATTATGTATAAATGTTGATAACTAATTGATAGAAACGTGAAAAGGTACTTTGTCACGCCGTTTTGAAGACCGCCGTTATTATTATCATGTTCGACATGGAACAACAAAAACAAACAAAAAAAAAAAAAAAAAAAAAAAAAAAAAAAAAAAAAAGGAGTCGATCGATTGTCAAGTCCCCCAGGACAATCTTTGAACAATGGTATCGTGTGACCCTGGATCACCGTGGTTTTAATGGTCCTAGGCTGTGTAAATATTACCCTTGTATCCATTGCGTTTAGAAGTTATTAAGGTACAATATAGTTTGTACGTTGGAGTATATATATATTATATATATATATAAATATTACCACACACAGAGTAAAATAATATAAACGGTCGCTGTCCTTACCAAACCGTAGCATTTTGCCTGTATATCACAGTCGAACGAGAATATTAATACTATTTCGTGTATCCATCCTCCTTTATCCAGTATCAGCCTCTGCGCTCGTTCCTTCGTGTCATTTCGATCGAGACGAGGAGAACGAGTGATGAAAAAAAAAAAGAAAAAAAAAAAGGACATAAGCGAGAAATCGAATCACAGAAACTTGTAGGAATATCTTAGCAATTTCTATAGTCCGTAGCGGACTTTTTCCTTGTTTCAGATTTAAAGGAAGAAACAGAGAGAGAGAGAGAGAGAAAGAAAGAAAGAATAAAAAAACGAGAGAGAGAGAGAGAGAGAAAGAGAGCAACAAACGAAGGGCACACGATCCAAATCCGTACGACACAAACGGTCGTGTATCGTTACTACGTGTTGCCCTCGTAAATTACTCGAAACCCATTAAACCAAGCGCCTCTTTGTAATCCACTCGATATTCACGAGGAGCTTCGCGAGCTACCATCAATAAACGTAATGTAAATTTTTTGCAACGAGCTACTCTGTTTTAATAGCTATATCCTGCTGTTCTCCTCGCTTGTGCAATAAATGTCAGAAAACTGTCGCGACGATCCATTTCATTCGTACAGGATTTTGTTTTCCTGCTTTGTTCTTATTTTATTTCTAATTTTATTTAAATGTGTTATATTTATATTTTATTACTTGTTCGAGAACGGAGACTTTATTTTCCAAGTACTTCTTTTTATTCAATATTACCTGTCGCTATGTGTAATTCGCGTGTGTCTATAGAAATTTTCATAATTCTCCAGTTAAATGTTAACAAGTGAAAGGTAAGTGTGTACTACTAATGTTTATTGTTATTAAACTCGCAGTATTTTTATACTGAGTATCCGAATAAATTTTTTAAATTTCTCGAATTTTTTTTTTTTAACACAGTATATATGATTTATAATTTATAACATTCGCCACATATGTAACGATAAATGCAAGATACATTTTAACCCTTTGAAGCATTATTTCAGTTTGTGAGAATATGCATTTGCGTGCTGAAGTATGCTCGACAATAATTGAATAAATTATAATAAAACAACAAAATTTTTCAGTTTTATAAATATTATATTTTATTAATTTATAAATAATTACATGTAATTGCAATTAATAACAGTTTTTATTAAATTTTTTCAATATTTTTAAAACTACTCTATAATGTCATTAAATTTTACTTCAACAGCGGATGCAAATTTTTTTTTTACTCGTCATTGAGCAAAAAAAAAGAGCCATCTTTTTTTGACGAGTATACTCGACGTAAATATCAAAACGATTAAAAGTGAACTTAGCCTAAATCAGGAATAAAGTCGTAGGCAACGTCTATTAAATACGCGATGTTAAAAATTATATATAACGATTTTTCTTTCTCTATCTCAAAGTATTCTAAAATGTATTAAAGTCACTAAATTTTACTTCACAGGAAATACAAATTTTTGTTTACTCGTCATTGAACAAAAAAAAAGCCATCTTTTCGTGACGAGAAAAGATTAAAAGGAAATTTAGCCTAAATCAGTGACCACAGTTGCAGGCAACAATCTTCTGTTAAATACGTGAACTCGGTTCCATGAAGGTACAACTTTAGCTACAGTTCGTATCGCAAGAATCACGAAACAGCGGTCGCGCGGGGTTCGTAGTTAATGCGTAACAGGCTTTAACCTCTTGCGCTGGAATGACGTGCCACGCACGTCTAGAACATCTGGCCCAAAATAGCAATATTTTCTCAGTTTTAAGTATACTGAAATATAACCTAGGCAAAACAAATGATAAATTTATTACTTCTTGGTAATTTCCATCCAGCAATATACCGATGTATTCAAGAAAGAAGACGAATTATTGTATACGATTTGGTCATTCGTTATGATCCGTGAAGCAGTTACTAGCGCAAGAGGTTAAAACTGCGGCAGTTCGGAGGTTTTCGCGCCGATAAACAGCCCGGCGCGCTGCGATTGGCCAGCGTGGAAATTTGATTCCGTTACGTGTTCTTTCTTTTTCTTTCTCTCTGTCCCTCTTCTGGTTCCCACCGCGCGTCTACCGGTCGTCGCGCGAAGGAAAGAGACCGAGAGCAACGCGTTTTCCCCAGGGAAGTCGACGAAACGACTTCGAGTCGAAAGAGGAGGCCTCGGGCCGAGCCAGTCTCTAGCAGTCTGTCAGTGACGGTGGTTTCGCGAACACGATTCTCGTGCACACGCTTGGGGGAAACCTGTACGTGCCGGGTTGGACAAAAAGAAACGTTTTCTACGCAAACGCTCTATTGGGCTCTGCTGGCAACGCGCTGTGTCGCCTGAAAACAATGACCGCAGTACGTTGTTCCAGCGGTTAGAAATACCGAGTAGTATTATCGTCAATCTCGATACGAACCGTCTCGTTTTTCTCGATCGAGGCCGATTCTCGACGGCCACGCTACCTCTAGGAACGGCTCCACGCACCTCGATCACGAGCAAGGGTATGTAAACATTTCGATTTCCCTTTTTCCGATCGATCGTCGGGAACAGGATTCTTGATTTTTGATTTTTCGACGACATCCGTTGGTTTTTTTAATCTTGCTCAGTCGCACGTATCGGTAACTAATTGCGTGGCCATTTTAACTTTTATCATCGCCGACGCGTGATATTCGGTTGACAAAAGCCTCCCCGTATACGTTCACCGGATAACGCTCCAACGACTCCGAAATGTCTCCCGGCGTAAAGTTTTTACGATTTAACAACGAACAGTAACACGTGGTGCACGTGTGTACGTGCCAGTTCTCGAGATTTTGATCGTAAACGACGTCGCTGGACAACGTAAAAATGCTGTATGTGGGTACGTTGCAACGTTGTTCTCCTGTAAAAGGGAGAGTGCGATTTGTAGCTATTTGTAGCTATTTGTAGCCATTTGTAGCCATTGTTGTGAAACGCCTATCCCTTGCTAAAGACTGAGTCAAAGAACAACGGTGGAGGAACGTAACTCTTGCTTATTTTTCGAACTTCAAAGCGTGACATGCGCTGACGTCCATTCGACAGCGTAATATATATATATGTATAACGTGTATAGTTATGCACGTGTGCACAACTATAATTATATACAGTCTGTGTATACACGCGTGTGCTATACTTTCCTTCTTTCTTTACACGAACGAGGCGCACGGGATTACGTGTTTGTTACAGCGATATTATGGAAATACAGTTACACAAGAAGCTGTATAATCGGAGTGATCGAATTAACGTATTGTTGACGAAGCCGGTAGATGAACTGGAATTTACGTGGCTCGAAGAAAGGAAAGGCGTTTCTCGTTTTTCTAAGTTCACACGCAGTAGAAAGTACACACGTGCACGTACGCTTTGGTTCGTTGTCCATTTATAGACGATCACAAATGGCGAATTAACCTTTGTTCGTCGTTAATCTTTGTTGGCAATTTGTTGAACGTTGATCCGCGCGTTGATTACGAATTACATTATTACAAGATTTCAGCCACACGTTTTATCTGTTTAACATCATTTGAATAAAATACTTCACGAACGAGGAAGAAACGGAGAATGCCACAGACTTGCTCGTTAATTTTTATGTTGTACGATATTTAATATACATAATTTAGTCTCCCTTTATTTCTTAACAGATTCTTTTTTACAGAATTCTTATACTTTTTTTTTAAACTACTTGTCAACTTGATTTGGTATTTTTCCCGTAAGTACTTTTATGATGGGCAACAAAAGGGTTACTATGTTTCTTTTTGAATTTTGTAATTATCATTTTTTTTTAGTGTAATTTTACACTTCTCTTTCCTCAAACCTTCAGCTTCGCTCGCTGTTTTTCATTTAAGTTAGAACTTTCTCGGTTGGCACTTAAAGGGTTAAGAAAATTGAGTTTCGATATTTTAGTATGCTAGTAAGAAAATTAATACTTACGCTATTTTACGAGGACATTTTATTACAATTTTTATTATAACAAATTGTATTTAATACAATAGTTTTAGTCTATTTAATATTTAATATAAATACAATTTGTTATAATAAAATTTGTTATAATATTAAATAGAACTATTGTATCTGTTTAATATAATAGTTCTATTTATCACAAACAAAAATGAGAAATCACGAAAAATGGGCGTTCCTCATTTTTCCCCTTACTCTTCATTTTTCGAGTCCTGCAGTCATATAGGGTGTTTCAAATTTAAATGTCAAAACTTTGGGAGAATGTAGGAGACCGATAAATTAAGAAAAAAAAGTCTTTTAGTGATTTGCTCGTTTTTGCCCCATTTCGGAGAAAATTGTGAAGAAAGAAAAACGTTCTCCGTTTTACATTTGTTTATTTATAATTATTGTCATCTATCATCTACATCATTTGTCTAATGAGGATACTGTTCAAAATGATATCTTCTCGTATTGAGAAGCTAGTCATTGTCCTAATGACGTTTGAACTACAGTCTGGCTATTGATTGGTAAATCGAATAAATTTACTGAACAAGAGCGAGAAAATGAAAACATTTTTCTTTCTTTTTTTTGCGAATTTCCTCCAAACGGAGTAAAGATTTGTTTCTTTCTTAGTTCATCGATTCTCCACGTATTCGTGAAATTTTGACATTTAAATTCGGGACACCCTGTATATATCTGCACGCAGGTACAATAGTACATTGACTGCACGAAACATCGAATCAATACTCGTCTCGTAACTGAAAGCCTGTTGTATAATGAAGTATCTCTTACTCTTTAACTTGGAATTGTTAGAGTTATTCACATTGATTAGACTAAATAGTTTTTGAAGTTGTACTCGTACAACAGGAACAAACCTTGGTGATAAAAACCAATCAAAAAATTCTTGCTTCTTCTTGGTATTGAAATATCATCCAATTGTTACGAGTAATTGGAAACGTTTGAAACTTTTTTCCTTATCAGAGTTGCCAAGTAACCATCGATTGTCATAAAATGTTAATAATATAATAGACGGTGGCCGAGCGCCATTATGAATTTTTTCAGTCTCACGTTACATTCACACCGTGTTTCCCAGTTTAACAAAAGAACTCGGAGTTTAAAAAAAAAGTTCGGAGAAAAGAAGAGAAAAGAAAATTCAGGCACAAAATATAGTTTCCCTGCTTCACTATTATCGAAAGCTTTTTGCTAAAGATAGACGTGAAAAGGTGATGAGTAAATGCGCATTTCGAACCTAACCATAAAGTAGCTTCCTCCGTTACGCGCGGTGGGCAATGGGAAATAATAAATGGCACGCTCGTTCGCGGCCGTATTTTCGACACGAAACGATTGCAACAAATCATTCGGTATTCACAGAACAGCGCGTTCAGGTAGATTTTAGATCGATGTCTCGCTAGTGAAATTGGCCCGGATTGGTCACTGGCCTTGGAGGGGAAAAATTCGTTAACTTGAAGGTAGCGTTGAGCGAGGTTCGTTGCGAGGTATGCAATCGTTTAACACGCCCAAAGTGAGGAAAACAAAAACATGCTTTAACACTAAACTACCAAAGTAGTCAAAATGATCAATTATAATTTTTGTTATTGTCA